CTTGTGGTAGGCTGGACTAGGGGGGGTTTGGGGTATGGAGGGATTGTGGGAGTTTGGTAAGAGTGGTTTTGGTTGGGGGGGAGAAGTTGGGTGTGTGTAATCCCTGGTCTTACAGGGTATTTGCCAGGTGATAAAGGGGGGGTATCGGTGGTGCCTGTGGGTTGGGATCTTTATGTAGATACTGCCTTGGTATGGGCCTTTGTGTGTATCTGGGGGAGAGAGGAGGAAGGTTTTCACGATCCATTCGTCCCCCTCCCCGAGCACCTGTCGGTTAGGTGCACTCATGGTTTTGAAGTACTTATGTTAGTGGTCTGTGTCAGTGCCATGAGTGGTCCCTTTGCGTAGTCACATGTGGGGGATTTGTATTTTCCAGTGTCTAAGCCGGGTGTCCTGGAACGGTGTCAGTGGTCTCGTGGGGAGGTCTGCCGGGGTGGGGTTCAGTGGCGGTCCGGGCATGGTCCTCCAGTCACCGAGCAGCGGGATGCTGTGTTAGATATAAGCATGCATGTAAACATATAAATATGTAAGCATAACAGAGTAATGATGAACAATATTGAACAACCTTAGTCAACGTGAAGTACTAGTAGATTTTTCCCCCCTAGTGTGTTTAGGTTTGCAAATCTATAACTTAGGGGCGATTTATTGAAGCTGGAGTCACAGTCCCTTGGTATCTGCGGGTATGAGGGTTGTCATCCTTTGTCGTGGGCTGTTCGGTTCGGTCCTTCCCCTGTCGGTGTGCGGTGGTTTGTTGGGTCCGTCCGGGGGGAGGAGGGGAGAGTTAAGGTCAGCGTTTGAAGTGAGTCTGGTCATTTGGTCGGGGGGAGGTTGTATGGCCAGTCGGGTTATCGCATTTTTGGAGGGCTGGGTAGTTCTCATATATTTTTTAATGATCCTCTTTATAATATTGTAAAGCAATGCATAATAAGTTGGCCCTATAAAAATGGCAATAATAATAATAATAAAATAATAAATTCTGTGATGGTGCTCCAATACTCCGACTGAGTACTTCCATCAACGTTCCCTCTCTCTGGACCAGAAACTGCTGAAATTACTATAGCTCTATCTCCTAACACCAGACGACACTTGGTGAAGGAGTAAAACAACAACACTTTATTGGGACAGAGACCCATATTTATAAGGAGAATCACAACAGGGGTCATCAACGATGACAGTAGAACCCTTCCATGGCTGGGGCATAGCTTAATTAACTGGGGTGATTTTATTAACTTCCGGACAACAGGGCACCTTACAACAGTAACCCAAAAACATAACTTTCTTCAACAGTATGTCGACAAACTATACATCAAAATGTCCAAAAAGCCAGATTGGATGTACCAAGCTCAAATATTTATTGAGTGAAGTTTTGCCGAGGCGTGGCAATCCTCCGATCCAGCGCAGAGTTCCAGGCTGCCGCCGACTATGGACCGGTTCCCCAAAAAAGAGTCCTCCTGATTCCGAATAAGAGAGCATCCGTTTTCTCAGTGCACTTACATTGTACTTCATCTTCCCTATCTTCCCTCCAATTAGCGCTCTCCTGTGGGACAGGATAACTGAGTGGAAAAGTTTTACTTGACAGCCACATCTTGAATAAAAAACCAGGTTGCGCCAAATAAAACGAAAACATATAATACCACGAAAAAAAAAAAAAACTGAAATAGTAAGTTACACAAGAAAAAAAAATATATTTGATGTTTGTAATAGTATATAGTCCAAAATCTATAGGAGAAAAATACCACACAAAAGGGAACAGGACACAGTATGGATTCCAACAGAGGACAGTTCTTTTCTTAGAGAAATCAGGATAAGGTTCTTGTTCAAAATTTAAAAAAAATCCATGTATGCCGAAAAAAAAAAAAAACAGAAGATCCAATAGTGCAGTATGTATGGGCAAATAAAATTCTTGCGTACTCACATTTACTAGAGCTCAGACCAGCTCTTGTGTAAATAGCGTACGGTGGTATAGATCTCCACTCATAGCATAATTCTCATACAGTACGCATTTACCAACAGGACACAGTATGGATTCCAATAGAGGACAGTTCTTTCCATGGAGAAATAAGGATATGAAAATTATCCTACGAGTGGGAACCTATACCACCATAAAAAGACAAAGGCACAATGCATCTGAGACAAAAAAAATTGGACAAACAAATACCTATCTTTCTTAGAAAGAACTTAGAAGTGGGGAGCTAAGAATAGCTCCCTGCGTAGTTTCTCTGTGAAAAGGCACATATATAATGCTGAGGAATTTAGAGATGCTAGATGTGTATGAGCAATGACTTATAAAGGTACTGACATTTTTTTCTACCCAATAAACAGATTAAATAACAAAAAAAGAAGTCATGAAGAAAAGGCATACAAATTCCCTCTGTTTTAAAAGTAACATATTTAAGTTTAATTAGGGAACTGAAGCATAACAGGAGGTTCCTCTTTCACCACCTCCGGTTTAGCATCAAATTGACTACATAATGATAGTCTGTTATTTGCTGTCATTCTCTGTGTAAATGGGGAAGGTGTCTCTCAGTTATTGCACTGTGTACATTTATTGGGTCTCTCGTAAAGAGCTATGTTCGGTGTAGCTAGACAGCGTTAAAAAGTCAAAGTTTCATAAACTGAAATCTGAATGACAAACGTTAGACAAAAATAGCTTATTTGGAGAAAAAAAAATTCCAACTCAGCTATAGTCACAGCTACAGCTACAAATTGAACCTGAACATTAAACTTATTGCGTATATGTCTGAAGTTATCCTGCAGGAAAGCAAAACATCCCAAAACAACAAATAAAACAAAACGACAAATGAGTTTGTTTTTGGTTTTTTTGGAGATTCACCTGTTCCTATATGTAAGTAACCTCACTGGATGCTTACTGATATTGAATCCATTTTACTTTTCTTGCGTCTCTCTCAAGGTTATCCATTAAGCTGGGATTTGTCTGGAAGTGATCAGTGTAATTCAAATTCCAGGTCAAAAGAGACAGACTGAAAAAAAAATGCTTTCAGTTTTGACTTAAAGGGAAACTCCACTGCCCAAACACAAAACAAAAAAACACTCTTTCGTAGGTAACCTCCAGTGAAAATATGCATGTACTTGTTTAATGGATTTTTTTTTCTTTCCAAATAGTTTTTATTCAAGGATTGTCTAGAAATTATTATAATAAACACGATCAACAATAATAAAATAAAATAGTGGGTATAGCTAGAAAGTGGAAATCCCCCACTATCTCATCTATTAGGTAAGTCTTGTATTTTGTGTTCGAAAACAAGAGGTACAAATTAGCAGCCGTCATTGTTAGACCAGTTAAAATTAAATTGAAATACACACACAAAAAAAAGCGTACGCTCTGTAAAAAATTAATTATGCATTTTCTCATTGGGATATATATATAAAACAGTTTTCAGCCTTTGCAAGCCCTCTCCTTTTTCCCCAGTCCAGATTTTCTATGGCTATCCAATCACAGACTTCCCAATGTAGCTCAAAAAGAAGTCTTTGCCTTTTGGCAATTGCTGCATCTTGAGTTTAGCTAAACAAACCAGGAAGTAACAGGACATTTTATTTTGTCTGACAGCCGGGAGGGTGAAAAAGGCTAATTTATAACAGTGCCAGTTTATACTGAATTCTGCACTTTTTTGAAAATGAAAAAGAGAACACGCTCTTCACGCATAAAGCACTTCAGCATGCTATTAAATAGTACTGGTTAGAAGAACAAGGTAGATTTTAGAACTGTGAACCCACGCTGCTCTTTAAAGAAAGAGGGGGGCATTAAAGAGCATAAAACACACCCCAAACCTGCAGTGGGCACAAGGAATACATTTACATTTCTATGGCAAAATCTAAATTAGTTAAGGCAAAATAGCCAAGCCAATTTGGTTATCTTGACCAAAGATTTTCATTGTAAAGGAATGGAAAACACAGAGTGTATGTAACTGTATTTTGTAATGATTATTTGAAAGCCAGAATAATTTTTTTTTACATCTGCTTATGGTACAGCTACTAATTACCCCAAGAGCAGCATGGCATGTCAGTGACCCCTATCCAACTTATCTTAGTGGCAAAATGTTGCATTGAAGGCTATGTACACATATAGATACAGTTCGGCAGGTTTGGTCACACAACATTAATATCTGTGAGCTTAAGCAGGTTGTTATAAGAGATGGGGGAAATAATGAATTGCACATCAGACTGACACTCAAAAGGTTAAACTCTAAATATGTGGCTGCCTCCAGCCAACTCTAATAATCATGTACACATCTTAAACAGATCATTCATTCCAATAGAAGAAGCCTGGATCAAGGAAGATAAGAGAACATAAATGTAAAAGTATATATTATACAAAGGGAGAGAGAGAAAAAGGGTGAATACATAACAATGAACAGTGTTTTAGGGTAATAATAGGTTGGGTAGACCTCGTAATAAACACAAGACGGCGATTAAAGGTCCCTGTAATGCACGGTGGCTGTCAAACTGCGCATTATATCAAATAATGCGAGGATTACGTCACCAACTGGATGGATAAATGGATGGGTACATAGATAAATCGGTTATTTTTTTTTATTTTATCTTTTAAAAACATTTTTTATTGTGTATGTTATATGCAACATACATGTCAAGTATAATATCGGCAACAGTAGATTTGTCATGAAACAGATACAATGTCTGAAGTGCTTTTTACATGAAGCACTTACACTCACTTTTGTGAATTTAACAATAAATAGGTTATTTTATAAAAGTACTGGGTAGTAAAAGTATTCAGTTCATAGGATCATGCACAAGTCCTTGTTGGTTGAGATTTCCTGTACACATCTCATGTTTAATAAGCCTAATATAGAATATGTCTCCTCAATAACCAATTCCTATTTTTTCCTGGTTTCAAAGTTGCATGTTTGCCATCATGTCTTTGGAATTAAGGTGAGAGAACTTATAGACAATGAGATGAATAATAATGCTAGGATTACGCCAAAATCAGAAGATATGGGTCTGATGCAATAAATGTTTATCTTTGCAGGTAAATGTTTACAGTATAAAAAGCTTCATAGATATCACAAGAATTCCACCAATACTGACTGAATTTTGCAAGAGGACAGAAGCAACCATCAGAAGAAAGGGGGAAAGGAGAGAGATTAAGCAAATCCTACGGAGCCCTAGAGGAAATGCCTTCACAGGCCTCAGGTTAGCAGTTCCTGAGAAGAGGCCTCCGGGACAGCGTCATGGTGACACTGGAAGGTACAGCTGAGCCTAAGACGACTAGTCACCATGGCAAATATTTGGGGCCTACTGGCTTGGGCTTTCACCTTTACTGCAGTCGGGACATTGAACTTCAAGAGACCCAGGGGTCCCAAGCAGGGTTCACAAGGTGAGAGGTCAACAGCTGTGAATGTCATCTCTGCCATTTTGAATTGTGAAGAGTGTCAGATTTCTAAGCTACAGGGACTGACTTCTTGAAATATAGTCTTATAAAGACAACATAAAGCAGCATTCTCGTCTGGAAATACATAATGGTATGTTTTTTCACACTGTTGTTTTGCTTCTTCTTTACCTCCATTTTGTTTGTTGTCTGGGAAAACTATAGAGGAACACCTATAGAGGAACCTATAGTTTCTATGGTAACTAAAAAAAAAAGAAAAACTCTGGAAATTCGGATAAGTTAAAATAGAAATTAAATGTGACTATCACATTAACGTCCTCTTCTTCAGTATTTCAAAGAGAATGTAGAACTAAAAACACCAACACATGGTACCTTCAGACATTAAAGCTAACTATGATGAATAAGGCATGTTCTGTCCTAAACAGTACTGCACACTATTAAGAGGATGAGCCAATCTTTGTAATGTTTACAACAATAAAAAAAGGAGAAATTACAATATATTCATTATACATGCAAAAGTATATTTTGCATTCATGAAGCATATTTTGGGAGTCTAGTGGAAGTTCATAGGACACATCCACAGCTTGTCTTGGTGGTGGTGCTGACATGGCCCTACAGTGCTCTCAGTATCTTCTTCCACAATGCCATATGAATGAAAATTTGCCCTTACTGCTCTAACGAACCTTACATCCTGCATCCCTGGTCCACCTCTAATGCTTGCACTGCCTGCTTAACTGCTCTTCATAATCCCTTGATAGCTTTAGGGGAAATTAAGAAAGTACAACTCAGTGTACACAGCACTGAAAGAAATACACACAGAATGTATCCACCAATTAGCAATAAAATAGGAGCGAAAAGATATGATTATAATAAGGTAATCGTAGCAAAGAGGTAAAAACCACCACCAAGAGATGTGCCACAAGCGATGGCTCTAGAAATTAGGCCTTGATTCGCAAGACGTGGAGAGCAAGACGTTGACCGCAATATCAATAGAGGCTTCCCAAAGTTTCATGTAATCCTCCATAGATTTCACTGATGCTATTCCTGGGACATGAAGTGCTATGAACTGAAAAAGGTCCTTGTAAAGAAGATAGCAGCAGCTGCAAGGGACAGCTACAGTTAAGTATTACTAACTTCAAGTAGTAAGTGGTAGGTTAAGTATTACTACCCAGTGGAAGCATAGCTGAACTGGGAATTTTTCTAGTTCAGTTATATTGGCCTTGAATTTCAAATTCACTTTAGTAAATAACCCTAAATGTCTAATGTAAAAAATTTAAATGAAGATGTATTCCTAACCCTATAGTGTTAAAACCACCATTTAGGTGGCTTGTCTCCTCCTTACTCCCCTAGAAGGGGTTAAAACTTTTTTCCAGTGAAGTGCAAGTCCACCGGTACTGGCCCTGCCCTCGATCCACATAGGTGACATCATAATTTACGATTTTTAGCTAATCCAATGCTTTCCCCATTTTGGCCAACCAGAACCTCCTCATAGAGATGCATTGAATCAATGCATTTCTCTGAGGAAAATTCAGCATGGAGATGCTGAACGGCAGTGCTGCCTACTGTGCAGCACTGCCCCAGGAAGCACCCCCATTGGCCATCTGAGGAGTGGCAACTGGAGGTGAACCTCGAGGGCAATGTAAACACCACATTTTCTCTGAAAAGGCAGTGTTTGCATGAAAATGATTATACTGATTATGGTGATTATACTCACCAGAGCAACTACATTAAGCTGTAGTTGTTCTGGTGAGTATAGTGTTCCTTTAAAAATGCATTAGAATAAATCATCAAGACTCACTCAGTAACCCGACAATATTTGTTGAGAGCTGTGCTGGGACAGGCTGGGACTAAACAACAATTCCAAGTCTTCTGTTCTATTTCAAAGGATAATTGAAGAGACATGCTTCACTTTGAGTCAGCTGTCTCATTCAAAAAGCTTTAGCTTTGAACGTGACAGTAGCTTCACCTGCAGACTGAAAAAAAACAGGTAAATATAAATTTTTGTTTTTCATATTTACCTGCTTGTTCCTTCTTATGCTTTTCACATCCACTCCAGGGGGACCACTGATCTAACCAATCAGTGTCCTATCCCTAGGAATCCTGGAGAAGTGCAATGGGCATGCCTAACATAGTCACACATGTGCAGTTGGAAGAGCCCTTCACATTGCAACATTCTGACAGAAGGAGAAGACAGGTGATTTGATCTGTGTGATTCATGCAGAGCAGTCTCCGGTTTTGAGTTTTGCTTTCTGCCCTATGTTAGTAATTGTTGGAGAATGAGGAGCTAACTGCAGCTATACAGTGATGTCCTATTTGTGTCATTAGTGAGCTGGTCAGGACTGGACTAGTGGGTGAGTAAAGGTGGGCAGGAAGTTGAAGAGACTCCCCTTGCTGAGAGGCATGCCCCACATTGCATTCTGACTAAGTTTATAACCTTATTTTGGTTTGTATATCTATTTAAAAGTCTTTGTTGGTTTAAAAAAATTGTCAAATGGTGCATGTCCTTTAACAATTTTTGCTTTTTATTTGTAGGAGTTTACTTTAACTTTTCATTTTGAAGGCTTAGGACATTAGAGTTTGCCTGCAACAGGTCAAATGTTGGATCGAAAACAATCTGTAATATGAACCAACATGCACCAACGCTAGCTTATATGCTTATATATTCTAATTATTCTGTTAACAGATACAGATATATTTTTTTTAGGAAAAATATATGAGTGTCAGCCAGCTGCTTAAAAATTAATGTTTTAGCAAGTTCAACTGAATCTGACCACGAACAAATAAGTGACCTTGCGCAACGCAAAATCTTTAAATACATTATCTGCTGCCTATGAGTTCGACATAAAGAAGCATATACACATATTTTTGTCTTTTAACCACTTTAGTACAAATAGTAGGCAAATCTTATTATCACGACAATCCTGGCACTACCTTATTGGTGAAGGCTTTAAAAATTAAGAAAAGAAAAGTACACAAACAAAGTATACATTACAAATTGCAGCAATAAATTCTTTTTACAATATGAGCAATAAAATACTTAAAACATAATGCCGCTATATTTACATTTAGGCCTTAACATTCCAAAAATGTTCATGTAGTTAGCACCTTTGGTCCTTGAACCTCTTTGTAGGCTCTGTTTGTTACTGTGTTTGATGTGGTGCCTTGTAATTCAGACCAAGTCACTGCATCGTTCGGATGACAGCAGCCAGTGAAGTCCTCTCCTCTGACCCAGCAGATTTCCTCTCCAGTCTGAGCCATTATGAGATCGCCTTCCCTGCCCAGGTGGACCAGAGTGGGAACTTCTTGACATACGACCTCCGTCAGGCCCCTCCTAGCCTCCGTCGAGCACGGCGGAGTCTACCTGATGAGGCAGAGCGTCAGCTCTTCTATCGATTGCAGGCTCAGAGTTCCAGTTTCATGCTCAACCTAACCCTGCAGACAGAACTCCTGGGGCAGCACTTTACTGTGGAGTATTGGAAAAGTGGAGGACTTGACTGGAAGCATGAGCTGTACGAAGACTGTCACTATGTGGGCCACATTCAAGACCAACAGCTAAGTTCCAGGGTGGCCATCAGCAACTGCAATGGCTTGGTGAGAAGAGGGTAAATTAAGATCTTGAGATTGACTATGAGGTCCATTTTCAGAAAGTTAGGGGTTTTTAATATTTGTATTTATCCCCATTTTGAAATACCTCCATGAACAGCCCACCATATTTCAGTGAGGACCAACTGTCTACCCATTTATGATGTTAGTGGCTTGGCGATAGTGCACTAAAAAATATTTTTTGTGAAGTTGAAAAATACAGTTTCATCTTTCCAAGATGACATTGTTATTGGTTTGAAACTACTATCATATCAACTTACAAAAACCTCCGCAAGCCACTGTTATCAATTCTTAAACTAATGATAAACTTAATAATAATAATTTATGAAAATGATAGGGAACTTTCAGTGATAAAAATCTAACAATTTTTCTTATTGGTTGCAGTCTAATTTAAGTTAATATTAAAATTTTCTTAAAAACAGGATTATTTATTAAAGTGAGAATTGTCAGGATTTTAACCCCTTAAGGATACATTATTGAAATATTTCATCATGATTCCCTTTTATTCCAGATGTTGTGTCCTTAAGGAGTGAATTCAAAATTAATTACAAATTGTTCCAGTTTGCATGATTTTGCTTTAAATTTCAGTTTTACTTTGAATTAATTTTGAATTCTCAACAATTAAAACTTTAGTGAATAGCCCTGCTAATGTGCATTTTTTGTTAGTTAATTTATCCTTCTGAGTCTTTACTTTCTTTTGTAGGAGTAGGTCAACAGAAGTGTAATTGTGATTTACATATGCACAAACGCACTGCAAAATCAAACAAAATCATATACAAGGTATACATAATATGGGTTGTTATTTTACCCCCTAACCCCCTCCCGAAAAAAACCACAATATATTTAATATAAATAAGATGAAAAAATGACAATCATCTTTTTTTTAAAAAAAAAAAAATACTTTTAAACAGTTTTGAAGCAAATGATGGCAAGGTCATCCCTTATCTCTATTTACCCCACTCTGCGATTCTCCAAAATGTCTCCTATTCTAGCTTGGAGTAATAGTTTCAGGGGAAGAGGAATATCTTATTGAGCCACTACCCGTGGGTACCAACTCGACCCAAAATGGAGAGGGGACTCCACATGTGGTTTACAAGCGATCTTCGCTACAACATCAACACCTAGATGCAGCCTGCGGAGTAATAGGTAAGAATATTATTACTGATATTGTGGAAATATCTTAAACATATCTGTTAACAGTTGGCAAATTCATTATACATTTTCCTCATCATATGTTATTTCTAGATGGGCAAAGCTCAATCTTTTCAAGAGCCAATGCCATGCATTTAATAAGACAGTGTTTTTATGTATTTTAATTTGTCCATTGATCATTAAAACCTAAAGGTGTTGTGTGTCCACTTTATACCAGATGACAAGCCTTGGAAGGATCGTCATTGGTGGCTAAGGAATCCCAGGCCTCCCCCACTCAGGCCATCATCCAACCAAACACAACGGGGACTGCTTCCTCTTAAGCGGTCAGTGAGCACTGAGAGATATGTTGAGACTTTGGTAGTTGCTGACAAAATGATGATTGGCTACCATGGAAGAAGGGATATTGAGCAGTATATTCTTGCTATCATGAACATTGTAAGTGTCACATCCCACTTATAGAAATTTCTACTTCTTCTTGAAGACTGTTGAGGATTGGGGGACAAAGTCTCAATTATTATCTCGCTTTAACTTTTTGTTGTTTTTTAAGACTGGTCTTTTTTTGTTTCCTGGAGGTCAGGTTGCCAAACTTTTCCAGGACTCCAGCCTGGGGAATATTGTCAACATCATGGTGACGCGTCTGATACTCTTGACAGAAGACCAGGTACAAGTAAATGTAATTCCAAACTCCACCAAGTGTTTTCAATCACCAAGCACAAAACAACAGGACAATGTTTTGGGCTACTTGCTGACCTGTTTCTCTACCTGCATTAAATCTCTAATGGCTACCGTTGGTTTTTAAATAATGACCATGCTATTCTGATTTTTTGAACTTAGAATGTTCAACGCATTATCAAATACAAGTATCAATCCTGATCATTCTTGAAATGCATAAGTACTTTTTAATTCAAAGTATATCACTGCGTCTTGACTGCCAAAGTATTGTTCACTGCTCAGATTCTAAGCACAAATAAAATACGATGTAGAAATTCACAAAAAGGTTAACATTCTTATACGTTGCCTCTGAAATTAAGCCCAACTGCATCCTAGGTCTGTTTTAATTTTATTTAGCTTTTCATGTAGACCGCCTAATTCCCATAAAATTTGTTGAAACTATACGTGGCTATCATTGTTATAATGCTGAATTAACGATATCATTTCTCAGCCTACACTGGAGATAAATCACCATGCCGGAAAGTCCCTTGATAGTTTCTGCCGGTGGCAAAAGTCCATTGTAAATCGTAATGGCAACGCAATCTCAGAGAGTGGGATTGCTGACCATGATACTGCTGTCTTGATAACCAGGTATTTATTTACAAGCATTTTCATTAGAAGTAACGAATGACGCAGAATTAATAGATTGCATTACTTTAAGTTGGCGTTTTTTTACAGATACGACATTTGCATTTACAAAAACAAGCCATGTGGAACTTTAGGTAAGGGGTAACCAAATACATTTTCACTTATTATTTTTATTATATATATGAAGTGACTGTGTTTAAGTACTGGAGTGTGCATGTGCCCACCCCCCTTCTTTTGTAACGTTAGTAACATATTGCCTGTAGTTATAGTAAATGAAGACGTTCCGCAGTATGTCTCCTTTGGCTTTTTGGATAGCTGTATCAGTTGAAAGTGCATTAAAAAACCAAACGTTATTCTGCAATGCTTCTTTCTTTCTTCCAATATATTCCAGAGACTGCTAGTTTTCCTAGCATTAACTTTCAATATCTTATGAGATCACCTCCTGCTTGCTTAATGGTGGAAAGGGCCCTTGTCCATGTTGACCGGTGGCACAAATAGGTGATGGAAGCTGTACTTGTTTTCTTCTAAACACTTTGTTTTATTCATTCTCAGGATTAGCACCTGTAGGTGGCATGTGTGAGAGGGAGAGAAGCTGCAGTATAAACGAGGATATTGGCCTAGCTACAGCCTTCACTATTGCACACGAGGTTGGACACACGTGAGTGAGTTCGATGTGTGGCATATTGCCTTTTCTCTTACCCTTTGGAGTATTGACATACAAGACAGACATCACCGTTCTTATCTATAGAACGGATGAACACACGTCACATCTTTAACTCCTTCTTGCTGTTTCTAGAGCCGCAGAGAGAATAAATATATTCTATACTCCCTACCCAAACCTTGCATTGTAAGCCAAGTGGAGTAACAGCCAGAGAAGGTAGACACACATTCACTAAAACATATGTTACCCAAACTCTGCCTGTCTCCATAATCTCTCCTTTTAGATTTGGGATGAATCACGATGGCATTGGTAATGGATGTGGTTCCCGAGGCCAGGAAACAGCCAAACTAATGGCAGCACATATTACAATGAAGACCAATCCTTTTGTGTGGTCAGCATGTAGCCGGGATTATATCACCAGCTTTCTAGAGTAAGTTATTGAGCAACTTGTTCCATATCCTTTCATGTCCCATTACTCTTTGTCAAATTATAACCAAGATTATACCTTTATTTATGAGATGTGAATCAATCTTGCATGATACTGGGCAGCTTGATTTAGGGCAGAGATAGGCAACCTTTGGCACTCCAGATGTTGTGGAGTACATCAACCATAACACTTTTACAGCCAAGGTTGCCTAGGGTTAGGCATGTGAATAGGTAGACAGGTTTTTTTATACGTGAGCCAATGTAAAGAAGATATTTCTGGAATTTGTGAGCCACTGGAAGGATTCCGTTTATCCATTTTGCAAGCAGTGGTCGGAAATGAAACATTGTGTTCGTAGTAAAAATGCCTAACTCCTTCATTTCATGTAGCAGGAACCTGTCACTTGACAGACATTACCAGACAATTTGATCTTTGCATGTAAATCCTACCTTAACTTAGCATATCCCTCCCAATCCCTCACCCACTATAACTTTGTATAAATGTAAATATTATGTTGATACCAGCTCCTTATCTCTTATAAATAATAAATAAAAAAAAAGGGAGAAGGTAGTCACCCCAAACATTTAAAAAAAATTAAAGGACCACTCCAAGCACAGTAGCAATTTCATCTCGTTACCCTTTCTCCCTGCTCCCCGATTTCCTGGAATGTCTAAGCATCTTACTGGATGCCGCTAATATCACTAGCTCCTCATTCACAAAAGTAAGTGAGAAAGGTACGTACCAGGAGGCAGAAGGGATGGATGCCATCTTCACAACTTTGGGATTAAACCATTCGTAAATAGTTTAACCCCTTGGGTAAGTTAACCCTCAGGTCCTACTACTACCATAACAACTTTATTTAGATAAGGTTGTCATGGTGCCTTGTGTGTTTCTTTATCAAAAAATCATAAAACTCATGTATTTACTAATAAATTTCCAAGCAGTGTCAAAAACCCTTAGTTATTCTTATCGGAAATTATTTAAAAAATTTAAAAAAAAAAAAGCCCCAATGAGGCTATTTAAAAAAAAAAAAAAAAAACAGAATGCAAACAAATAAATAGCTGATGCTATGTGCTGTATGGTCCATCCTCTGTGAAATGCCTTGCAAACCTGAAAGACAGAATGTTTAATTATTTTTATTTATTTTTTATTTTTTATTTTTTTTTACATCAGAATATGGTATTAGTTATTTCTTGCAGAGTCATAGATAGAGTCATCTAATACCAAATCATCATATGTATTATTCATTTTCTCTTTCTCTATCTGTCCTTATCTGGTTAATGTCTATTTCTTTCTTTAAATTTTATCTTAGCACTATTACAAAAAATACTTTCAAATACGTAATGAACTAACAAACTAAATGACACACATACATAAAACATTTGCTCGGCTCGTGGTGCGACAAAAAAAAAAATACATACATACATATATATTCATATATATATACATATATACATATAACACGGAAAAAAATCAGACAAGGAAAATATCCGACAAGAGGGGAGCCTCCCTATCTAGATTCCATTTTTTTAATCCATTTATCCCAGTATGTGTATTGAGATCCCTTATTTAATGAAAAATTAGTAATAGCCCTTTCCATTTTACATTGGATAATGCTTTGAGCATGTATCTTAGCCCAGTTATCAACCTTTGAGGATTTCCAATTCCTAGCTATTGAGGTTTTAACAGCCATTAAGATATGTAAAATAATGGGTCTAAATTCTTTATTGATGCCCGTCATATCTATATGAAGTAGAGCCGTACTCGAAGTCAGCTCAATCCTTATTTCCAGTATGGATGATAAATATTGATTTAACTCAACCCATAAAGATCTAATTTTTGGACAGTCCCACCAGATATGTTTGAAGTCTGCAATCCTTTCATTGCATCTCCAGCAGTTAGGTGGGGTTGTAGGATACATTTTTGCAATTTTATGGGGAGTATTGTACCATCTATTTAATATTTTATAATAAGTTTCATGTATATTTAAACAATGACAGACTTTGTATAACGTATTAAGGGAGTTATTCCATTCTTTCATAGTGATATCTTTGGTAAGATCATAATTCCATTTAATAATTGCCCGGGGAATTGATTTTCTCTGAGTCTTATAAATTATTTTTTGGCATTTATTTACCAAATGGGTATAATCTGACTGCTCAAATAAGTCTGATAGAACCTTAACTGGTGGTTCCAGAGGGTTAAATCTTAGATATGTATTCAGAAAGAATTTTACCCTAATATATTTAAGCCAATCATTAAGAGATATGTTATATTCAAATTGTAGTTGATCATATGATTTTACTCTATTTCCTAATAAATGTTAGATATAATTTTTATACCTCGCGTAATCCATATTTCTAAATTTATGTCTGTCATTATTTCTGCCAATATGTTTAGATTTATGCCAGGAATTATCTTCTTTTTTAAACCAATTTTTCTTTTTAATAGAGACCAGGTGGGAAAAATTTGTTGGACTATCAACGATTTAGAATTTTTAATGCAATTATTTGTTTCTTTATCCATTGCCCATAGAAGAGTTATGAACCACTTGTTCAATAGAGTCCTCTGGTTTCTGGACGGTTATCAATACATCATCAGCATATAGTTTGAATTTTTTGGTTATTATTTTCTCCAAACCCTTTTATGCCTTGATTAGATCTTATATCTACTGCCGAGGATTCAATCGATAAAATATACAGTAATGGTGCAGCCCTGGCTTGTACCATTAGAGATTCCAAACCATTAGGACTTAATTCCAGGTCCTAATATTCTACCTTGAGGATCACTTTATTGTGCCATTATTGCACTAAGTATCTCACCTAAGAATCCAAATGATACTAATGACTCTCTGACAAAAGCCCAGCTGACCCTGTCGAATGTTTTTTTCTGCATCTAATCCCAGGGTCAGCATGGGTATACATTCCTTTCTTGCCTGTTCCATTATCCCTATCATGTTTCTCATATGGTTAGTGGAAAGTCGTCCCGGAATGAATCCCACCTGGTCTCTATGTATTATGTGTGTGACAGAAGAATGTTTCATTTTATGTAGGTGAGAGAAATAATGCATCTTTGAATTTTCTCTCCACAGTTCTGGGCTTGGCCTTTGTTTAAACAATGCACCTCCCCGGCAGGACTTTGTGTACCCCACCCAGGCTCCAGGACAGGCCTATGATGCAGATGACCAGTGTCGTTTCCAACATGGAGTTAAATCTCGCCAGTGTAAATACGGGGTAGAGTCCCTTCCTATTTTGGCTACTTCTACATGCTCATAAAATGAGCTTCAATTTAGTATTACAGCAAAGTTAATGAACAAGAACAAGGAATACTTGCTCTGTTAGTGCCTTGTAAATGAGAGAGATAACCCAATAAATATATTCTCCCAAAATCATGACAGTGTTTCATGACTAGCAGCTTTGTCAAATAAATTAAAAAATGGGATTTTCTCTTGAATGCATCAAAATGTAATTGTGGTACCAAAGAAATATGAGATTCAAGAGCCTGCAAAGAGTGGCATTGACCTCTGTTGGTACTTAATTAGAAACAGCAATTTCACCACTGTAATAATTTAATCATACACGGCAGGGGAGGTTTGTTGAAAAGTTTGTCAACCAGGATTGCTCTTGTACATTCCAAAACTTTTATGAATGTGCAATTTAGTAATGTCATTAATTAAATTAGACTCAGCCATGAAGAGGTTTGGTTGATTAAAAAGAATCTGTAATGCAATCTATTCTTAGGTTATGCAAGGATCTGATCCTGTTTGGTTTCTGAAAATTATTTATATATACATATATATATATATATATAGAGAGAGAGAGAGAGAGATAGATATAGATATATAGATGTAGCAAAAAGAACCGCACAAAGGTCTTTGTAGAAGTTTTCAAGTAAAACTTAACTTTTATTTAATCCATATAAAAGTGTCAATGTTTCAGCCCCCACATGGAGCTTTCATCAGGACAAACATTGTTTTTATATATATATATATATATATATATATATATATATATATATATATATATATATATATACAGTGGGACCTCGGTTTACAAACGACTTGGTTAACATAATTTTCGGTTTACAAATGAAAATCCATTGAAAATAATGCCTTGGATTACAAATTTGTTTTGCAATACAAAGCAAGCTTCCCCAGGATGCATTGCACCTGGGAGGTTTATAGCACCGCCCCTGCATGCTGGAGTCTGTGGGTTGCTCTTGGCGTTGAGTGTGGAGGTGTTGGAGCAGCTTTTGCATTGAGTTTTGGAGCCATTCTGGAAATTGTTTGCAGTTGTACTGACAGCCACTGGAGGTTTAAAAAAAAAAAAAAAAAAAACGTCAGTGTTTTACATTGCAGGGTTAAAAGGACAGGGACACTGCACCCAGACCACTCCATTGGGATAAAGGGTCTGGGTGGCTACAGCGTTCCTTTAAATATGCCCACTGACAATTTTTGCCACATTCTGTTACTATATGCTTACATCTTAAAAAATAAAGTATAAGTTGTATAGTTACATACTCTGGTGGACAGAATCTGTAGGTTTTGGGACAAAAATTAGTTTTAACAAAATGGCAAGTAATACCTGCTTCTAACACTTTAAAAAAAGTTTTCATAATTGGGGTATTTGAGGGTTTACAAACAGTAGGTTCTTGAAATGTATCTATTCCAGTAATAGTTAGTTTGTCATATTGCATGCTGATATAATGAATTAGCCTTGTATGTTTACAGGAGGTGTGCAGCGAATTATGGTGCTTGAGCAAAACTGGTCGTTGTATCACTAACAGTATCCCAGCTGCCGAGGGGACAATCTGTCAAACAAACACTATAGAGAAAGGGGTAAGTACTTCTTTCTCGGTGATAGATACAAATCGTCAAGAGGTTAATGAGGAATTAAATTCTTTACACCATGCTGTTTGTGGTTTGGGGCACTTATTGCAATTTCATATACAGACATACATGGGTATATATAATTATTATTATTATTATTGCCATTTGTATAGCGTCAACAGATTCCGTAGCACTTTACAATATTATGAGAGGGGGTTTTTAACAATAAATAGGACAATTACAAGAAAGCTTACAGGAACGATAGGTTGAAGAGGACCCTGCTCAAACTAGCTTAGAGTCTTTAGGATAACACCAATTAAACCTTTCAGTGGTGCCAGGGCTATTGCCGTAGCAAAAATTATTTGTATATATGCAGTAGCACCTTCAAATCATGATTGAATCAGAATTGATAGTTTCTGCCTCTCTATTGCATTTTGGTGCAAAAATAGCAGAGTTGTGCACATTATTAAAATTTGGTTTGGTTTATTTAAATCGATTTTGTAAAAAGAAACATTTTTTAAAATCGGTTTCAGGCAATTCTGAATTTGGACATATGAAGTTTCAATTGAGATTCATTTTGTCCACACGATCATTTCTGGAAAAACGTCATGATCAAGATGTCATGAAAACTGTCCAACCAGTGTACTGCAAAATAAAAATGTTATGTATATAATTTGCAGTATACGGGTAGGAGCATATGTTTTACAGATCACGTTAGAAGACGTAAATGGAAAAAGAGTAGGAGCAATAAAAAAATAAATCTATATTTATATACTACATATAATACATAAACATATAAATATGGATTTTTTTTTACTGGTTTTCCTTTTTCCCTACAGTGGTCATTATTTCACTTGATCTTTGAATAAAATCAACAGTTAGTGACTGTCCCAGGACCACCAATGAACAGAACACCAAATCACAAAACAGTTTCGTCCATTGTCTGTCTCATTTGTTTCATGATTTGTCCATAAAGCGTTTCAAAGTTTGTGATTTCTAAAGAATCTCCAATCACCAAAAATATGTGTTAAATAGGTTTTTATTGAGTTCACAAAAAAAAAGGGGGGGGAGCAGTCTGTAACATTTGCTGGAATCAACCATTAACAGTTGGTCTTTAACAATATATAAAGACAAATTTTGAGACAGTATACAAGTATCAGATAGAGGGAAGGCATTATGCTCGGTGTAACAGTGAACAGTTTAGACTATCCGACCAGGCGTAACTCACAGATACCTTGCTCTGCATCAGTGCGTTATGGGGAGTCGCTCACCTCCCAATCAACTAGCACTTGCGCAGCCCTCCAACCCGTCCTCCGGACCATCCTCTCCACATCCCATCCTGACATCCTGAGGTCTATTGAGGAAGTCATAGATTATCAATCACCTAAAATTTGGACAAATCACAACTTATTTGAAACCAAATGCACTAGTCTCGAAAAAAATGTTCAAGTAGATGTTCAAGGTATCAGATCATTGAAGTATTATGTAGGGAGCTATAAGAGTTTTAAACTTTTTTTTTATACTAAATGATAACCCCTACCCTGAAGGATTTTCAGAGAAAGAATTCATAAAGAAAAGCTCTACTTTGCCACTGGAAAAAAATATTTTAGCCTAGAGAGGATTTGGCACTGATTGAGAATTATCAGGGAAGGAACAGAGTTGGCTTAGCATATGGCAGATACAAATTAGCAGTAAAATTAAAAGAACCACACTCTGCTTCCCTTAAACACCATGCTCCCTACATATGTTATCCTCAAGGCAGGCTTAGTGAGACATCTGGAAAAGATGATAATAAGTTACATGTTACCCTTTTAAACCCTACCCACCAGAAATTAATAGATCAGTATTTAGGAAATCAGGACAAGAGAAGTTTTGCATAATCATTGTTCAACACATTTTTTTTTTGCTTAATAATATAACACTTTATATGAAAGGGAAAGGGGCCCTGCATATTACAATATATGTGAAACAACAGGCAAATCACTGCTTCTCCTGAACACTAAATATAGTGGGATCTGCCTCACCTGTGTTTTTTTGTGTAGCTTTTTAAAATGCATTGAAACAATCTTATTTTTATATAATCTTCTACTGGCAGGATTCTAATGGTGTCCTTAACCATATTCCATACCTGTGTACTAACGGCTTTATATTAATTTAATCATAGTTTGCTTTTTTGTTTTAATTGAACTTACGCAGTAGTTGGTATTATATCCAAATACCTTAATATTTAAATTGACACTATAGTTACCAAAACAACTTTAGCTTAATGAAGCAGTTTTGGTGTATATATCATTCCCCTGCAGTCTCAATGCTCAATTCTCTTCCATTTAGGAGTTACATCACTTTTATGCAGCCCTGGTCCCACCTCCTTGCATGTGACTTACACTGCTTTCGTAAACACTTCCTGTAAAGAGTCATCTAATGTTTACACTTCCTTTATTGAAATTTCTCTTTAATTGAGAATTTCTTATCCTGTATGCGATTAAAGTTCAATTTAGAGAGAGGGAGATAAAAACATTTAAAGTAAGTTACTCTCTGATTGAAAGTGAAACCATTTTTTTTTCATGCAGGCTGTGTGAATCACAGGCAGGGGAGGTGTGGTTAAGGCTGCATGAACAGAAAAAAAAGTGATTTAACTCATAAATAGCAGAGAATTGAGCAGTGAGACATCAGAGGCATGATCTATACACAAAAACTGCTTCATTAAGCTAAAATTGTTTTGGTGATTATAGTCTCCCTCTAAAGTACACCTTTTGTGTATCTTTTCATTTTTACACTTCACTTTGCTTTTCATATATGTGTTTGCTTTATAAATCTATGCTTTGCTTAATGAAAATTCTTACAGTATTTGCCCTATAAACATTTTCTTTCCATATACCACTTCATTTTATGAGTATGAGTGCATACTCATTGGACTGATAGCCTTGTTCCTTATTGGTTTCTCTTACAGTGGTGTTATAAGAGGGAATGCGTACCATTTGGAACACGGCCGGAGGGTGTTGATGGAGCATGGGGTCCCTGGTCTTCGTGGGGGGAGTGCAGCAGGACGTGTGGAGGAGGGGTATCCTCATCTGTCCGTCATTGTGACAGTCCTAGGTAAGTTATAGCTGCATTCTGTAAGATTTTGTTTTAATATAGTTAAAATACAGGTATAAATAAATATGTTTCAATTTCCTGAGCAGTAACTGGATACTTAACGTATCTCAACTGATTTTTGGATACTTATTTAGCCAAGAAAAAAAAAACAGATTCTTCACCAATTCATAGTTTTGTTTTCATACTTGCAATTTTACAAATGTCCTAAAAATATAAAAAAGAACTGTTGCACCATATAATAGTCATATTGTCTGTCAAATTTGTTACAGGCCGACCATTGGAGGAAAATACTGCTTAGGGGAACGTAAGCGCTATCGATCATGCAACATCGATGTGAGTGTAACAAATGCATGATCAGTATATAAAACTACACAAAATTAAGTCATGCACTCAGACTCCCACTCAGACTCCCACTTCTCCTGAGCGGCATCCCAAAAACAAGACATTGTGTGGGGCAGAAAAGGTGAACCCATTACAAGTGGCAGCAAACGTGGGCTTGTATATATTGTACAAGCATTATAAAAGTGGCATTTCAGAAAGAGATTGAAAAAAATTAGCTTGGGTTCACTAGTGAGGGGCCAGTGCAAGCCCCTTCTCTGTGTTCTCCAACATTGATAAGCTCCTCTGAATGGTGCAAAATAAATTTACCCTTCTTTGGGGGCATATAATTAATCCTAACATTCTTTAAATATGTATTTTTATTAATTTATTGTGTATTTCCAGTATTTGCCATGCCACTTATGTGTCTGATTTCCAAGCCGCACGTTTGTGTTATGATTTTTACTGAATAACGATGATAGCTCTTTCTCTGTGGGCTAAAGTCTAATGTCTCCATTAATCAGCCAACGTGTGCATAATGCAATGTCATTTACTCTGTAATTAGCAAGATGATTGTCTTTACTTCTGAATTCCCAATGTACGTACATATGCCTTTTGGCCAAAGTCTGCTCTCTCTAATTTTGAAAATGTTTGTCAACATTTTCCTTTCAAGTTCAGTTGGCGCCCCACTCTATAATTACCTGTAAGAACTGCCATTTTTTGCAATCAAAAATCACTGATGTACCCATCTATTGCTTGAACTCTGTTCCTAGAATCCCCCCAGAGAAAACCAGACACCTGCCTGTTGACACTTATTGGGCAGGTACAGACAAGAGTATACTTGTATATTAAAGGGAATACTCAGTGCTATCAACCACCTGCGGTAAACAGTAAATTGGTGAATGACACAAGTTACAGAGAATGCATGCGGGTACAGACAGGAAAAGCAAATTACCTTAAGCACAAATGCAACACACGTTTGTTACAATGTTGCAGTGGTATGAAACTAACTGTGGCCCCAGCTGACAGAGGGGACCCTCAAGACCAGCAGGGACTTAGCTCTGATAGTATTTTGAATGCATGACGGTCTATGCCGTCAAGGGGCATTAAAACCCTGCACTGCATGACAGCATAGACAGTCATGTGATCATTAAGGGTTAAAAACCAAAAAACTGCTTGGATTGTATTGCTCATTTTAAATCAATAGGCATATAATATAGCTCTGCTTTTGCTGAATGAGAAGAACATTATATTTAAATAAAGGATTTTCATAGTTTAGAATGTTAATATAGAATTATGCTCCCATTCGTTATTAGGGGTTTAATGCCTTTGACAGTACTGAAACATTTGCAAAGTAATAAACTCGAAGCAATCAGTGGTCCAGCAAGGTTCATACACATCTAGTAAACTGTGCCCACTCACATTTTAAACCTGCTATGGATTTTTTGCTTAATAAATGCAGTAACTAAAGTGAAAATTCAAAGTGAATTTAAAATTTTAGATCAAAGTTGCCAAACTGAAATTATAGCTAATTTAGAGTATTTTAACACTGTGGCTATTTTGGACTTAAATTCGAAATTTGCTTTGAATTCTTAATTTAGTGCATAACCCTGATAGTGTCCTGGAATGTAGGATGTTTTTAGTTCTTCGATGCATATGAATGGAAGTGATTTTAACTGTTCTTTCCATTCAATACTCTTAAGAGATTTGGTTAAATAATAAATAACTGAGCTAACCCATTTTTCAGGACTGCCCAGCTGGTTCACAAGACTTTCGGGAAGTACAGTGTGCAGAATTTGACAACGTACCATTCCGGGGCAAATACTACTCTTGGAAGACATACAGAGGAGGTAAACATAAACCACATTATTTAAGAAAAACTGATGGGTAAATACTTTTATGCGCAGACAGCTCTTATTATTATTATTATTGGTATTTATATAGCGCCGACTTATTCCGCAGCACTTTACAATATTATGAAAGGGGGAAATGTAACAATAAATAAGACATTTGCAAAATGATACAGAAACAATGGGTAGATGAAGACTCTGCCCACCAAGCTTACAGTCTAGAGCTGATTAATATATATGAGCAAGGGGTAAGCATTCAATCCTTGTTCTTAGAGGTAAGTAGACTTGGAGACTTGATAAAGACTACGTTATGGATTTGAACCATTGGCTTGTGACTCTGCTCTGTTACTTATTATTTTTCCACAACTTGTTTGCCTGGATTCTACTATGGATATCGTTATTTGTGAATGTCCCTTCCTCAGTCTATTGAGCACCAGGAGTGGTGTTATCTCTGCAGGGAAGTTTCTTTGTTGCTACATAGGACAGAGTTACTTTAGTTCCCAACTGTATATAGCTATACCCATTATGGAAACAACTCACAAAAGAGTGACTTTTTCTGCACCCTAAATTGTGATTTGCAAAGTTAAGTATAAAATTCTCAAAATTTTAGACTTGTTCTGGACAGTTAAATTCCATCGCGGAAGTGCCAAAATACAGTATACGTATATACACATTAATAGAAAACATCTTAATGTAGGACTTCGCGAGAGTTACAGTTAGAAAATGAATGTTTCAATTGTTTAATGCACTATTAAATGTAAATGTGCACAAGGTCATTGAAGGTACTTGGTATTTATCCAGTAATCTCCCTTTATATATTTTTTTCTCTTCAATCATCGTAGAGAAAATAACTCCAACCACAAAACCAACTGTAGCACGCAAGATTATTCCCAAACAGATGAGTACAGCTGCAGGAAGTCTTGCTTAATAACTAATGGTTTAGTTTATCACTCCTACTTCTCAGGCAAATGCACTTCCCTTATCAGCACCTTCTTACACAATCCCAAGTGTATGTTTAGTACCTTCAACTTGATACCTTGGCCCATCACAACTTCCCCCTTACAACTAACAACTTTGTATAATCTCCGACTTTTGTTTCCTTGCACATGATTATCTCTCTCCATGTTCTTGCAGGGTAGAACCAATTCATTTTCTTCTTCAACTCTAAGCTTTTTGTTACTGTAGATGACGTTTTGGCATTTATCTTGTCTTCTTCTCCCAATCCCCTTTATTCCATTCCCACACACAGTCATCAGTTTCTTACCTCCAACCTTGTTCGGTCTCTAAAGGTACACACTCAGGGGCCTAACCACCACAGCCTGCTGGTGCCTGACACTATTCCCAAGCTTAATATCAAACTGTTTCGGAACAGATTAATATTAACCACATGTGTCATACTGACACAGCGAGACAGCCTCTATATTGGCCGCATTGATTATGTCAGTTTTGTAAAGTGTAGACAGGTTTGACCGACTGTGAGTGACGGCTAACCACCCTCCAGTACTCTCAGCTAATCGATATTATTTTATTTGAGCTAAGTCATGCAGACTAGGGCTAGCTCACGGGTTGAGAGTTTTCGTCTGATCAGTCTCCACTATTAATGAACTAAGCTCTACAATTCCACGCGTAGGGTCCAGCTTTCACAAGGCTTTAGTAAAGACAGGGAGCAGTTTTCAAACTATTCTGAAATGGTTTGACCACTTACAATAGAGTGGGGCATCGGGACACTCCTTGAACCATAACTACTACATAATTCCATAGTGGTTATATTGCTTGGAGTGTTCTTTTAACCACTACATTGAGTAGGCTGCTTAGAGAGCCCATTTAATACAAGTTTCTTATGCTCTCATAGCATCTTCCTCCAAGGATGCACTTATCTCTTGGTACAGGTACAGGTTACCTTCTGTTTTCGCATGATACTTCCTCTCTGTCCTCCTTTAGAGTGTAGTAGTAAGTCATATGCTGACAACACACTTATTTCCTCACCTAATTACTCTTTTTGCATTCTGGATAATGTCAATAATTGCCATTCCTCCATCTTCTAATTGGATTCTACTCACTAACCAGAGCTTTTTCCTCCTCCAATAAGTAAGCCACTTTGTCCACTATCTCTAGTGATCAGTGATACTATCATCAACTCCGTAGATCCATATATCATTTTTGAGTCTAGAGTGTTTTCACACTCAGTCAGTCTGCAAAAATGTTTCCACCATAAACATCCAGCTCAAATTTGTACCTATGTAAGATTCAGCGGTAGTATGATATTTTCTTTCCAATTCATTAATGCTAATGGAAAGCTGATAAGCCTGGTTTGTTATGAAGCTGATTCTAAGTTTCACAAAATGTTACTGTAGGTGTTGAGGTTCAGTTCCTCCAAGTATGGTCAAGTCAACCTGTCATCCTCCACGAACTGTAAAATAAGTATCTTTACTTATTATTAACGTCTGTACCCACACAATTGAAAAACTAGAGAAAAACTCATGCCTTTCAGTTTTTCCTTTTTTTTCAAGTAGTGGTTTTTCACGATGCTTGTTGGTGACCCAGATTGTTCCTAACCTTTCTTTTACCCTAATTTTAGTCTATATACTTATCCTACTTTTATCCTTATTGATGTATCTAATTTTGTTTCTGTCCATTGTTGCTGGCTATCTTCTTCAGGACTGGATTTTCTACCAGGCAATGTAGAACGCTGCCTATCGGCACTTGATATGTAAAACCGGCCCTCTCCATCTTCTATTTGCCTGTGTCCTGTTGGAATATGAACACACTATTATCATGCAAGCTGCTAAACTTGCAAACCTAAATAAGAAGACACATATCTAAACATATATGATAAATTCTACGATTTACGTCTCCACCTCATCATTAGCATCTATTCCTACTGAACAAACCTAACTTTCTAAGAGTGCTTTCCAGCTACTTTTTTTTCTGATAAGAAGAATGCAGAGAACGCTGAGAAGTGCCAAGTTTTTTTTTTTTTTAAACCAGCGTCTTCTTCATTTGTCTGCAGACCCAGCCTCAGGGTATTTCTGCAGACCAAGAAATATTAATATAGTCAGACCTCTTTTTTTTTAAGAAGATGTTTTTGACTGGTGCACTGTTACATGAGATGTAAGCACTAGTTTGACTGCAGCTTTTTAACTAATTGATGCCCCAGAGTGTCAGCGAACCAAAGGGATGAGTTAATAGAGACAAATCAAGGGTCCTACACTGTGAGCAATTACATCATTTCTTACCCCGACTAATATACTGTGACGGGACACCCAATTGGCATCTTGCTAACAGCCTTCCCTAGCCATTGAGGTATAGTGGACATGACCGGGAAATCCTATTCAGCCTGCTGGAACTCTGTGCCGGATCAGCGGCTAGCCACGTCTCGCTGAACTTTGGACTTTCACCCAATTCGGGCTAGCAATATCCGATCCGGACGCTTTCCGGACACAATGGGCGCTCCAGGACGACCTTTCTGGGGATGTATGGCATGTGGGGGTTCCTATATGTATTACATGTGTTTTTGATGTTTTATATTTTTATGCTTAGTCATGCTGACACAAGAAATTCAGTTTATATTTTTATGCTTAGTCATGATGACACAAGAGATTCATGGGCATGTTGTGGGAGTGTTCTGGACGTGGCTGACCGTACCCTTACTGTGTATATAAGTGGGCCATCTGGCCGTAATAAACCCAGACTTTTTCACCCTTCACTAAGTCTCGACTAGTGTTTGGGTGATACTGAGGTAACCTGTGCAAGATGCTATTATCACTCTGGAGCTGATCACAACTGGAAGGGGCAACCTAGGCAGTACTAACCCATATACAGTGAAGGGTTTTAAGCATGCATTAACAAGGAGTTGTTTCTGATATTTGGCCAACCGTATCATAATACTCCAGCTGTGTAAAAGGTGCTGGGCAACGTTGTTTAATACATATGCTATGCTCCTATGTAATGGTGTATTTGGGCGATATCCTAATGTTCTCCAGTAGATTAGAGAAACATCAGCCATCATATAAGAAGTGTTCTTAAAGGCCTACTAAAGAATTAACTTTATGTGAAGGCTGAGAAACTAAAACAAAAAAAAGAGCAATATTATTTATTTGGGCTACATTTCTTCTGAAGCAGGCCTGCTGACAAGTTGCTCCATAAGAGTTTATAGCAATGTAGTAAATGTGCCTCAAAACTCCATAAATGTCTGTCAACCAATTTTATTGATCCAAAACAAGTCAAACAAAAATCTTGCAATTTCACTGTAAAGAGTGGTAGAGAAGAGTGTAAAAGTCACATGAATTACTCTCTATATTAACCTAATACATAATGCAAATGGACAGTTATTGTACAATGAATGGTCTCGATTCAATATTGTTAGATAAACTTTTCAAATTATTTAAAATCAGAGGCGTGACTAGAAACCACCATGGTGAAAACTGCACTGGGGCCCCCTAATGTGACCCATTCCCACCCACCCCCCGCCTTCCCCTTCACATGTTTCATCTCCTTCTGCCAGGCTCTCCACATGTCTTATTCTCCCCGCACCCCCTCAATCCCCCATGTTTATTACTCCCCCCAGTCCCTACATGTGTCATACCCATCCACCCCCTCCACATGTCTCTCCCACCCACCCCATTCATGTGTCTCTCTCACCCTCATACATTTGTGACAGACACACATAGTGACAGACACACACACAAACTGACAGACACACACACGCACTGACTGACACACACTCACACTGACTGACACACACACACACACACACTGACAGACACTGAAAGACACACACTCACACTGACAGGCAGACATACACATTGACAGACACACTTACACTGACAGACAGACACACACACAGACACTGACAGACACACTTACACTGACAGACAGACAGACACACGCACTGACAGACACACACTCACACTGACAGACAGACACACACACTAGCTCATAGACACTGACAGACACACATTCACACTGACAGACAAACACACGCACTAAGAGAGACACACACTCAATGACTGGCAGACACACACACACTATCAGACACACTTACACACTCTTGTACACTCTCACAATTTAATTTTTTGAGGCCCACCCAGCCTCCCTACCTTTTGGAGAGCTGGTGTGGGTCCTCTCCGTGGGGTCCAGTGTGGAGCTGTGCTGTAATCTGGCATTTTCTCTCTCCTCCTGCATGCTGGTATACCGGAGCTGGAATGATATCATATTCCAGCTCCCTGCATCACAGAGGGCGCGCAAGGGAGGAGAGAGGAACTGCTATATCAGCCTCCCTTGCCTGCATCCTGTCCTGCCACCCCCTTCCGGTATATATCGGCAGAGTAGGCACCTGCCATCCAGGTAAGCAGGTGCCTACGCTGCCTCACTGGGTAAGAGCCGATTCGGGGGTGCCCTAAGGTGGCCAGATGGCCACCTCCTGGGCCCCTTATGAAAAGTCTCCTCTCGGCATCACCACCTTCAGTGGCTCATAGTCGCAGGGGTCAGCAGGGCGGCCGGGCCCCCTGAAGTGACGGGCCCGGTCGACACTGTGACCCCTGTGACCGTGGTAGTTCCGCTACTGTTTAAAAGTTTTTGGATAAACTTTTAAAAAGATTTAATATCATGAAAATGTATTTAATTTTGTAATGTTATGAATTTTTTTCTATAGTAATACATTTTTATATATGATATATTTTTTCATTTAAATATTTTTCCAAAAATATTAACATGCTATTAACATGGTTATTCACTAAAGTGAGAATTCAAGGTGACTTTAAAGTGAATTACAAATTCAATGTCAAAATAGCCAGACTCGAAAAATTCTCTGTTAGCTATGCTTTCCATTCAACTACTCTGGCCTCAAACTTTAAGTTCACTTCAAACCACCTAGATTTACCATAGTCTGGTATTTTAGCAGTCAGGCAGAAATGCTTCCCCAAGAAAGGAAAAATTGCCCAACCCCCATATAATATCTCCCAGATGAATGTCTCTAATCCTAAATTATTATTTACCCAGTCTAAATTATGGAGAGTATCCTAGGATATCCTGTATTGACCTTAATACTACCTAGTAACCAGCCTGTTTTGCAGACTAAATAAATTCAGTTTGGCTCCTTGCCTTTTATGACTCAGTTCATCTGTTTTGCTTTGTTTTTTATTTTTGTTTTTATTGAGATACTCTCCTGCTTATGACCAACAGTATTTATAGTTGTATAATCTACAGCGTTGTTTTGTTATATTTTTTTCTTTTTCTTTCTAGTTACTTTTTTTTTCTGTAGACAGCTAAGACTGTATGATTACAAAGTAAATACTTTTTCCCATGATCTTTACCACTACTAGTGCTTCTACACCTGATAACTATAGAAGAATGCCTGGTTACAAACTAAAGACTCATTTCAATTATACTTTTCTCACTACTAGTAACGATCTACACCTTACCACTTTAGAAAAACGCCCAGGTAGCTGTCATGGGATCCCATACAGATATGTTCTTTGAGAGCTGAAATAGAAAAGGTGCATTGCCTTGAAACCTTTATCATTTGTTTCTAAACATTCTGTAATATATTTGTAAAATGCTTTCACTACCAAAACTCATAGTGTGTGCAGTGCAGTCTGAGTGCCGAGGCACATTGTAATGCAAGGCCTTTCTGTCTTGGTCTCTGTGGGCAATTCTGGTGAGCAGGGCCATATTAACCTTGGATTTACCCTTTGCCTACATACATTCGGCCTTCGTTCAGTCATGCTACATTTGGTTTCAGTACATTCGGCCGACATTCGACCACTCTACATAATCACTTTGGCTTAGTCCCTTCGACCTATGTTCGGGTACGCTACATTTTCGTTCAGGCTCAGTACATTCACCGAACCTAAATTTTCACTTTCATTTTTAAAACATTAGACATATATTTGGCTGTGTTACATTTTTGTTTCGGCTCTGTACATTTAGCATACGTTTGGCCATGCTACATTTTCATTTGATTCTGGTACATTTTGCCTACATCGGGCCATGCTTCATAGTTACTTTGGTTTAGTACATTCGGCCTACGTTCGGCCACGCTAAAAAATCTCACTTTAATTTTAGTACTTTAGTACAAACATTTTTTGTTTTGGTGTCAGGACATTTAGCCTGTGTTTGTCCACGCAACATTTTCACTTCGGTTCAGTATACACGGCCTACCTTCAGCCACGCTACATAGTCACTTTGGTTTAGTACATTCGGCTATAGTGGGGGAGGGATAGAGGCTATAGTGGGGATGCTGGGCTTCTATTTTTGGAGGGGGAATAATAGGGGCTTTAGTGGGAGGATAGGAGCTGTGGTCGAGCGATAGGTGCTATAGTGGTGGGATTGGGGCTGTAGTTGGAGGATAGTGGGTGTTGTGTGTACTCTGTACTTGAGCGCTGGCCCTGCTATAGAGCTCCTTTGTCGGCTTGGACCCACAGCAGGTGAATTGGCTGGCTGGTGAGGGAAATGTTTGATCTCACCACCGGCCATGCCTCTTCTCACTTGCCGTGGCCTTATGGTAAATCAAGCCATGTTGGCTGGTGAGTCTGGGTTAGTTATGTTTCTGAAGAAAAATACATCTTGTGTATATTATCTCTAAACCCTGGTCATTAGTGTAAAACTGTTTTTTGTGCCTAAAGTTTATATGGTATTTTGCACATCCAAATGTAATGTACTGTGCACACATGACAGTAAGCAAGTTTTAATTAGAAACTTTATTCATGCATTCTAACTATAAGGAATGTGTCAGCTCAGTGTCAATCTGTAACATAACAACAAGTGTATTTGTTGGGATTAGCAGCAATGTTTCAAACATTAAAGGGACACTATAGGCACCCAGACTATTTAATCTCATTTAAATGCTCGGAGTGATGTGCCCCTGTCCCCCTAACTCTGTAAGTGAAAACATTGCAGTTTCAAAAATATTGTAATGTTTACATTGCAGGGTTAATACTGCCTCTAGTGGCTGTCTTCCAGATAGAAACTAGATTGTCACAGAGTTTTACGTCATGAAACACCGTTGTACGTCCTTCAGTCTTTGCATGAGACTGTCCAGCATCTTAAAAATCCTCATAGTAAAACATGCATTCATTCAGTGCTTTCCTATGGGGAAGCACTTGTACATGTGTGGCGCTCACTGCGCATTTGCTTCAGGTCCTCTCTTGACAGGACATCATGGGAGGAGACCGTGCCAGGGCCGAGGGATCTTGGCAATGGAATTAAGGAAAGTGTTAAAAGAGGAATTAAAGGTATAGTTGACTTTCTGTTTTAAAACAGTGTATGACCCAAGGTGTATGCATTTGGCTCAAGGATACTGTCCTATATAAAAGGTAGGGGTGAGGTTTTCTCATTTTTTTTTTACATATACTTCATTTAACAAAATCTATCTTTCTTGAAAACTTGATGGGTTAAGGGTTATTATATAAAATAAAAATAGCTTTGAGGTGACAGTTGTCCTTTAAACACCTGACAGACTAAGTTCATCTCATTCAGGAGAGAGAATAGTTAAGACCAGCAGTATACCCAGCGTGACACCTTTAACAGAGGCTGTGTGTACTAGATATACAGGAAGAGAGACGCTGAACTGTCCTTGATGGGGGTTTTCAAAAAGTGGCCTGGTGACCATATAATAAAATAGTAAACCGGCTACAGCATGCTGTAGTGGTTATGGTGTCTGGAGTTTTTTTGTTAAGAAAACACAATATACAAGGAGTATTCAGACAAAATTGCAGTTTATTAAACATTATAAAGAAGTGAGGGTGATAAGAATAGACAGCGGTAAGGTATATAACCAACGTGATGTCACAAAACAATACAAACAGTAGCACAAATACAATTATGGAATTTAATAATGAACAAATGTTTGTTTTCTATAAAGTTTAATGAATATGTGGGAAAAAAGTGGTGTGCATGTAACATGCCCTGCTGTACCCTCACCATTCTCCCAATTCATATTCTGTGTCCTGCACCCCACCCCCTCTTTGCCTTGCTGGGATATTTCTCCCATGGGAGACTCTAAGTAGAGGAATTTGCTGGAGTGCCCTACTCAGCACATTCCAAGAGGGCAGAGGTGCAGAGGGGAAATGAGGCCAGGAACAGAACTTAATACAGTCCAGATGCAATGAAATTCCTCCAGTGATCAGACACTGGAAACCCTCTCTCTCCGAGGGGTCTGAACCATTCTGGGGTCTCTCAAACTGTCAGTGTGTGTTAGGGATGCACAATTTCGTTATTTTAAACGTTTGACGAATATCGACCCTTATGTTGCTGTTTTATTTTCTACAGCTTGGAAAATACATAATAACAAATGCTTTGAGTTCTTAAATTTTGTAATCTGTTATGTCTTGGTAAATCGTGAATTTCTGTACTGAAATGACCTGTTTCACATTACTTGTACCGCAATAAACACACAAGACAAAGTACAGACACTTGACTTCTGGATCTTCTTTACATTCTTTAATTGGTCTGGACTAAGAGAAGCAGGGTTCAGATCTGGTCACAAGTGTGTTTGCAAATTCTTGGTGGAATTTTTGCATAATTCGGAGTGATGTTTTTCTGTTGTTTTGATTGTTGGATAGATATATTTTATCCTCTCTTAGTTTTTTTCTGAAATGTGTAAGTGAAGCCAATATTCTACCAATCATGCATGATACTTTGTTGAATTATAGTCAAAACAACTTTTTTTTCCCCCTGGCTATTGGATAACACCCATACAAGCACAGGGTAATCTGATATCACAGGCCTTGTAACATTTTAATCCCAGATGTGCATTTCTCCATTGTGGTTATAGTATAGCCTAGTCATCTGTTTCCAATGTCAGCCAGACTCCTCTCTGGCTATGTCTTTAAACATTAAAGGGACACTATAGTCACCAGAACCACTACAGCTTAATGTAGTGGTTCTGGTGTCTAAAGATTGTCCCTGCTGGCTTTTAAAGGCAAACGCTGCATTTTCAGAGAAAACATTACTGCCTAGGAACACCTCTAGTGCCAGACTCTCAGACGGCCGCTAGAGAGGCTTCCTGGGTCAGTGCTGCACAGTGTGCGCACTAACGTTCAGCATATCTACACACTACATGGAGGCGCTGAACATTCTTCATAGAGATATATTGATTCAATGCAACTCTATGAGGAAATGCTGATTGGCGCAGTGCAGCATTTTGCCGCGCATGCACAATAGCCTCCCAATGCTTTCTTATGGGAAGGCATTAGATTGTCTGATACCAAATTTGAGGATCTTAGCCATTAAGGAGATGCTGATTGGCGCTGCATGGCAAGACATGTTTGTATTCCTGACACTATATTGTTCCTTTAAGTATATTGAGTTTCCTGAGTTAGCCGTGGTTAGCACAAATAAATTGTCTAATTTTCCCCTACAAAATATTTTTAATTGAGAAGGACCGCTTGTAGAATTTTTGTGAGGGTTTAAGTGGTGAGGAAAATATTAAGGTTGCAGTAGACCACGAAATAGCAGGGTTATGGTTCTTCAGTGAGGGGAGGCCTAAAATCACTGGACAGAAGGCTGAAGGTACCAAATCAAATGATCATGCTTTCCTATGAAAACATGAATGGGTATATTATTCTGAATAACTGGGCTAGATTTTATAAAAGAGCTATTGACAACCTGTATGTTCATAGAATTCGCTTTATTGTGCATTGAGATAGACAGTGAATGGACAATATTGAAATTGAAGTCCAAAGAGCAACCCCTGGTGCCATAGTCAATCTTGGCATCATAGTCATTGGTTTTCTTGGTCCACTGTAAATAAGAGTGAAACTGAAAAGGGAGGTATTGAGGTAGGCAGTACAGATGTTATTTGGTTATATGCTCAGCCCACTTACCCTCCATGTTTTTGTTCCCTCTGGGCAAAAATTCACAAAAGGGTTAGGACCGGGACCAGACTGGGAAGAAAATTCGGCCCATTTTTTAATTACAGCGGCCAGCTAAAAAGGGGGCGGGGCCAGAGAGGGTGTGTTTTGTCATCACCAATGACAAGCGTGCCCCATCACAAAGTGAGCATGTTGGTTCAATGCTCTTCCAGGGTAGACCATGCGCAGAGCTCTGCTGAAGAGTTCTGGCATGAGAAAAAGACCCTGTATTTGTTCTGCACAGCGCAAGCAAATTTAATAACATGCTTGCACTGTGTTTGCTTGAAATTTGTCTCTGGTGTCTCCATAGTTGGGATACCAGGATACAAAAATGCTAAAATAGCATATTGTGCAGTGTGTGTGAGGGTGCTGTGTGTGTGTGTGTGTGTGTGTAAGGGGTGTAGTGTGTGTGCGAGAGGAGTGCAGTGTGTGTGTGAGGGGTGTAGTGTGTGTGTGCTGTGTGTGAGTGATGGGTGCTGTGTTTGCATGAGGGTGCTATGTGGGTAAGGGTGCTGTGTGTGTGTGCTGTGTGTGAGTGGGTGCTGTGTTTGCGTGATGGTGCTATGTGCGTGTGAGGAAGCTGTGTGTGAGGGGGCAGTGTGTGCATGTGAGGAAGCTGTGAGTGTCAGGGGTGCAGTGTGTGTGTGTGAGGAGTCAGTGTGTGCCTGTGTGGAAGCTGTGAGTGTCAGTGATGCAGAGTGTGTGGGTGAGGGTGCTGTGAGTGTCAGGGGTGCAGTGTGTGTGAATGAGGGTGCTGTGAGTGTCAGGGGTGCAGTGTGTGTGTGAGTGAGGGTGCTGTGAGTGTCAGGGGTGCAATGTGTGTGTGTGAGGGTGCTGTGAGTGTCAGGGGTGCAGTGTGTGTGAGTGAGGGTGCTCTGAGTGTCAGGGGTGCAGTGTGTGTGTGTGTGTGTTTGTATGTGTGTGCTAGTGAGGGTGCTGTGAGTGTCAGGGGTACAGTGTGTATTTGTGAGTGAGGGTGCTGTGAGTGTCAGGGGTGCAGTGTGTGTGAGGGTGCTGTGAGTGTTAGGGGTGCAGTGTGTGAGTAAGTGAGGCTGCTATGACCTGAGTGATTATATCCCCCCTCCCTGCTTACCAATAGCCTGGCTGGGGGGATCCTGCTGCTGCTGCCATCCATCCCTGGTGGTCCTAGTGGTGCCTGAACTCTAGCCTGTGGGGCTAGAGTTCACTCTCGCAAGACCCGGAGCGTTGCCATGGCAACGCTCTGAATCTCGTGAGAGGAACCCAGCGGGGTTGTAAGTTAGAGCTCCTCCGGGTTCCTCTCCTGGCTGTCTCCCACCCTCCCCCACCGGCAGCCGGAATATGCTGCATGTGGGCCGGTGAGGGAGATCTTTGATCTCCCCACTGGCCCGCCGTGGACTACTGCAGGGCTGGCGTTCAGATAGTGCCGGCGCTGCAAAGACCAGAATGGGAGATCCTATGATCTCCCTGCCGGCCCCGGCCCATGGCCACCGCGGCCCACCCGATGGCCAGTCCGGGCCTGGTTAGGACGTCCACAGTGCAAGCATGGATTGCTGCACCTTCTCTGTTGTAATTCAGGAGGTAAATGGCCTTGAACAAGACCAACCTGCATGGGTTCTTCTCCTATGATAGTGGTGGAAAGGGCACAAGGTCCAGCATGGTTTGTGCTTGTAAGTTTAGGGACTGGTATTACTATATAGACTTTTACAAAGATTCTTTCTTTTAGGTGATGATCTAGGTGTATGGTTTGCTGCAAAAATGACTCTAAGGTTTATGGAATTTCGAAATGAGTGAAATCATCTTTTAGAGACTAGGATACACCAAGCCGGAACAGGTTTATAAGCCCGATTTCATTCCAACAGATGACTGTAATATATCGCTTGAACCCTGTGATGTAGTCGTCATTAGGTCTACAAACTACTTGGGTTGTTTCCGATCTGTTAAAATCAACATACATTAAGGACATAGGTACAATAAAAGTATCCCTTGATTGAATGATTGGTATGCAACAGGTTGTGTGCCCATTCTTGTGGAGGCCCTTACAGGAGGGATACCAATATGTGAATGCAGATTTAAGTCTAATAGTAATTCACATGCCGTGGACATGGAACTTGTGCTTCGGGGGTTGTAGCATTTTCTTCAGGCAAAGGAACATTATGAGTAGCCGGGACATGTGGCAAAATGCTGCTCATGAACGTAAAGTCTTGTGCCTACAATTTTTGCACTGCTTGAATAAGTAAGGTTATCTTCCTAGTATGCGCGATTAATATTTCTGCCAGTTCTGCGAATTCCATCAAAGGGCACAACGTTCTGTAACAGTTTGTGCGTTAAAGGGTCAGGATACAGTAACTGGCAAAGAACAGGAACAGCCAAGGCAATGCACAGGCAAGGGGAATCCAAAGGTTAGGTCTGTTCCAGAAGAAGGGTTGGTCCAGGCAGCAAAGATTCTTGAGCGATAGACAAGCAAGAGAGTCAAATACTAAAGCAATAGGATAACTAAAGACAACACTTCAAGGAGCACAGGATATCTATCCAGTGAGGAAGGGTCCAAAGAAGCTTTATATTGGATGAAAGGAAAACACCCACCCTTACGTGTTACTGGTACACTTCTGCATCGTTCTGCCCAGTTCCTCTATAAAGCACATCAAGTTTTGCGCATAGGCGGTGATTATGCCAATGGAAAATACAGTCTACGAACTCTATCTCCCCACAGCTCATCATCTTCAGCCATGTCTGTTTGATTTAGCCCCTCTTAAGTCATGAACATCGCTGTTTACCAATATGCCTTGAATCTTATACTTTCTTCCTTTCCTAATTTTTCTTAGGTGGAGTTAAAGCTTGTTCATTGAATTGTCTAGCTGAAGGATTCAACTTCTACACTGAGAGAGCAGCGGCTGTGATCGATGGAACCCTCTGCAGACAGGACTCTTACGATGTGTGTGTTAATGGGGAGTGCAAGGTACACATACAGAAAGGACACTAAGCCAATAGGTAGATTAATTTCACCGATATAAAGCAATAAAAAGACGGCTTTTTATTCCATGGTCAGGCTGTGAATTTGAGTGCTTTCAATAAGTGGTACAGGGCTGATCTTGCAAAATATTCTTACACTATCTACATTCTTTAATCCAGTGAGCTTAAAGCACCAGCTGACCAGCTCATCACAAACTCTGTTGTTATTACATTTGCCTTTTTAATATGTTGACCTACAGCATGTTGGCTGTGACCGGATCCTGGGATCAGACACCAAAGAGGACAAATGCCGCATATGTGGAGGAGATGGTAACACATGTGAAACCATTGAGGGTATCTTCAACCAGTCACTGCCAGAGGGAGGTGAGAGAGAATATTTAGCTTTTATTACACATATAATACCACATTTACTAATTTGCCTTTTTAGTTGATATAGTTCCTATGATCAGTGGAGTGATTATTTTTTTAACTGTCAGAAGGGCCTTAAGTAACTGATTATTGCATGCGTTATAAAATATCCGTTATAATTATTGAAGAACAGATGTATAACTTTTGGCACTTGTGTTTTTTTTTTCCAACTCTAACAACAAGTTGCTCTTTTTACCGTTAATATTTCTCAAGGATATGAAGAGGTCATCTGGATCCCTAAAGGCTCAGTTCATATTGACATTCGCCAGCTGAACCTCTCTCTTAATTACCTAGGTAATGTATATTGTATTTTTATATATCCGAAGCAAGCCTTAATAATTGAGAACCTGCTACCTTAGTATTGGTTCTATGCCTACTATACTACATCAGAACAAAAATGTGACTTTGTCTCAAACGTGACTTCAATTATTAAAAGCCAAATTTTTGCAATTTTTCTTTTACTATTTACGTTCCTGATATTTCTTGTTGTTGTAGTTTAGCAACCCCCCCTGTAGTCTACATTGTTCTTTGCTTCTTCCGTGTACATGTTGAGGCTTTGAGACTTTAACACTTTGTCGGAAAACTGCTGATCAACATTAACACAGTGGTGTGCTACTGACTCTATTGAGCTGTAATGCATGTCTATAGCATGTCTTGGCAGATACTGCAGGCCTCCAACTCCTATCAATCACAAGCATCCATAGTATCCATTAGTTAACCAACTGACAGTAACATCACAGCCAGGCATTCGCATGGCACCCACAAAACTCCCATATCACATACAACACACACATTACCCATATCATATACAGTACATCACACTTAAATCACACATGATACCTTTCCAACAAAACATGCATGACACACGGAAGCAGTAGGTGGAGAGGAACCTGCCTAAACAAGCTTACAATCATATAGTTTTGCCACCTTACCCCATTCCCTCTAGAATGTAAGCTCGTTTGAGCAGAGCCCTCAACACCCTCTGTTCCTGTACATGTCTGTTAATCCACCTATTGTACAGCGCTGCAGAATTTGTTGGCGCTTTATAAATAATAATGATAATTATACTACAGTACTCATATGCATATCATTTACAGCAACCACATAACAATTAGTAGCTAGCATTTACAATATGGACATACATTATACATAATTTATTCCCAACAAGGACGGAGACACTTGACTTTAGGTCAGAGAAAGTATGTGCACAGATCAAAGGAATAGTCAAGGCTTAGCGGCTAGTTGGTCAGGCACAAAATCAGCATGCCACATTGCAAGCTTCACACAGTGCTACCCACTACCCATATGCCCCAACGTTGTAAAACATTAAATAACCCTTTATTCTTTTACCCAGTTCACGCTGGATTGCGGTCTGCGTTTTTCAATGTTAGACGATGGGAGACCTAATGCGCATGCCACAGGCATCAGAGTTGCTACCTGGAGTTTCATGGAATTTGACTCTGTGAAATGACGCTAGACACCCTCACGCTCTGCATGGGGACATCCAGCATTGTTTCACGGATTCAAACTGCGTGAAACTCCAGGAAGCACCTCTAGTGGCTGTTTTACATTGCAGGACTAAGGGAGACAGGGACGCTGCATCCAGACCACTTCAATGAGATGAAGTGGTCTGGGTGAGTATAGTGCCCCTTTAAGAATGTCTAAATGCACTTGAAGAGCAACACTGTGAATACCTGTCTAAAATAAACACATGGGAGGAAATGTAAAACTGAGATTAGCAAGCACTGATGACAGCTGGGATATATTTATCTCTATCTTGGGCTGGTGCCAGAACTGCAGAGAGTAGTGTAATATACACCTTCAGCAATGTAGTACACACCAGTGGAGCAAAGAGTGTCTGATGTCACTGTCAGAGTGCTGTGACTGCTGTGTTGCTGTTTAACCCCTTAAGGACACATGACGGTAATTTTCCGTCATGCTGGATTTTTACTTCTGAAGGGGTTAACATGGTAAATTGGTGTCAATTATTCACAAAACTTTATTCAACCACAAGCTGAGTGTTGTCAACAAAGTATTCCTAAAGTTTTTTGTTTATTAGTTATAAAGTGTCAACAAATTTCGCAGTACAATAAGTGAACTAGCAGACAAGTATTTGTAACGAGCTGTATTGGACGCACAGGAACAGAGGGTATTGAGGGCCCTGCTCAAACAAGCTTACATTTATCAAAGTGTTACTTTCTAAAAACTATTTACAATATGCAACATTATAAAAGAAGTGGAGTCAACAATGGAATGGGAATTCAGGTTCCAGGGTGTCCATGTTGATTGCCCCACTTTTAGAAATTTGCATTCTCTTTTTAGAACACAGCACTTTGATACATTTCTCACAATGTATAAATCTGTGACAAAAACAAGCTATGAACATATCTGGACACCCTGAATGTACACACTACCCACTCTGAGTCCAGAAACAGACTTATTTTAAGAGGAACATTGCTTGTCCTTATTTTTAACAGTATATATTTCAGCATCTCTTGCAAGACAAGTGTCGCAAGAACATGCGCTTAAAGGAACACTCAGAGTACCATAACCACTACAGTGTGCTGGAGTGGTTATGGTAACAGGAATACCCTGTCACCCCCCTTTTGTATTTAAACAAACCATTTTCTAGATGGTTTTAGGCTCTCACTGAGCTGTAGAGGAGGTGGTGAGCGGCGCCTTTCACACCCCAAGTAAGAAGTCACACAGTTTCACTAAAACAGTATGACTATTTAAAATGGTGTGTGCCAGGGACTTCTGGCACCCAAAGCTACTACTAAAAACTGAAGTGGTTATTGAGATTGGAGTGTCCCTTTGATTAAGTAAAGAGAATGTTTTACAGAACATTAGCATGTCTGTATTTTTAATATTTATATATCAGCTAATAGATACCAAAGGCAAAACAAGTTCTTTAATATTATCTTTTGATTCCACAGCACTGAGGGCAAAGGATGGAGGTCAATATTTCATCAATGGCAGACTCCCCCCAGACACACCGCAGAAATATGATGTGGCTGGGACTACTTTTCACTACCGGAGACCCCAGGATGAGCCTGAGTCGTTTGAAGCATTGGGGCCTACTAATGCCACTTTGGTCATTATGGTAATGAACTATTTTCTGATTGTACATTTACATCTGACAAATTTACACATGAATTTACAGCACCTATTTAATTTCCTATAGATAATAACGTAAGCTGATTCTATCTTTCCCAAACATCCTGTACACCTATTCCTCACTCTGTCAGACTTTACTTCATGCTTTATAATTAATTAATGGTCCACGTTTTATTTATTTTTTATTCTGTGAAATCATAAAAGTACTAAACTGAGCTTCTTTTCTTGAAGGTGATGGTGAAAGAAGAGTTTCCTGGGATCCGCTATAAGTTTAATGCTCCAGTTAACAGAGAGACACAAAATGGATACACCTGGCATCTTACACCTTGGACGAAATGCTCTGTCATTTGTGCTGGAGGTGAGAAGATGGATGACTGTCGCTATACATCCTGTTATTGCATTCTGTATCGATCTATGCCTCCGTGCAGTCCTGGAGTTGTTGTTTTTTGCTGTCTTTTCAGGGGTGCAGGTGCAACGTGTTCAGTGTAAGAAACTGGCTGATGGGTCTGTTGTTTCCGATGATATGTGTGATTCAAATACCAGGGCTGAAGAGAAGCAGCGGCCGTGTAACACTGAGCCATGTCCCCCTGAGTAAGTCAGCTTGTTGTTGTAAAGTGAGCCTTTAATACATAAGACAGTGTTGCAGTGTGATGACAATTATAGTGAATGGGGCAAGCTTTGAATATATGGCAAGATCAAAGAGTTACAAATGCTCTCCACTAAATTATGTTCTGATCTACAGTAGAACGAGGGAGCCATACACATGGTATACAGCTACCACAAACACATCACATATAGCCAGCACACACATCACATACAGCCAGAACACACCACACACACATCACATACAGCCAGAACACACATCACATACAGCCAGAACATACCACACACACACACACATCACATACAGTCAGAACATATATCACATACAGCCAGAACACTATAGTCACCAAAACAACTTTAGCTTAATAAACAGTTTTGGTGTATAGATTATGCCCTGTGGTCTCACTGCTCAATTCTCTGCCATTAAATCCCTTTGTTTATGCACGCCTCCCTGCATGTGACTTACACAGCCTTTCTAACCACTTCCTGTAAAGAGTCATCTATTGTTTATACTTCCTTTAATGCAAATTCTGTTTAATTTAGAATTACTTATGCCCTGCTTTGTTAATGGCTTGCTAGACCCTGCAGAAGCCTCATATGTGTAATTAAAGGTAAATTTACAGAGCAAGAGATTAAACTAAGTTTACATCTCATTGAAAATTAAATTAAACATTTTTCGTGCAGGCTGTGTCAGTCACAGCTAAGGGAGGTTTGACTAGGGCTGCATAAACAGCACAAAAGTGATTTAACTCTTAAATAGCAGTGAATTGAGCAGTGAAACCTTAGAGGCATGAACCATAACTACTTCATTAAGCTAACATTGTTTTGTTGACTATAGTTTCCCTTTAACTGATGCATCTGGATACACCAGGACAGAGAGCCCCCTTTGGAAAGCCACATTACAGCAATCTCTGAAATTTGTCAGGGGAAGGGATAAGGTGCAGATGGTGGAAAGGTGTATTAGAGTGTAGTGCAAGGAGGAGAGAACAATGAGAGGCATGATTGATATATTTAAACAGAACATATAAACCCAACAGTGGGGCTCTCAGATGAATAATTGAAGGGCCATATGGGAGTTAAGCTAACAAAGGATGGTCATTGGTAGGGTTGAAACCTGCATCGCTAAGTAGGTAAGGAAACAATGGCTTGGAAAGTTGGCCACAAACCATAAAAGAAAAACTACCTGAAAGACTTATTGGCCACCCTTGGATCTATCTGCTGTCAAACCACTTCCTTCTAGAAAATGAAAATATGTCTAAAATGGGTGTTCGTAAGTCTACACTGTTTTTGCATCAAATTGAGCTCAGTATCTGATTGCATGTAAAGATAGAATATTGATTTTATTTTTGTTTATGCCTAACTCACAAATATTTGGTGTCTTGAGTGTCAGTTTGTTTGAAAATGCATAACGCCCTTAATGACAGAGTACTCAAGTATTCATTATCTATTTTTCCTAGTTTGATCATTACTTATGTATAACAAAGCTGTTCCCCATGTCAGGTGGGCAATAGGACCCTGGTCTGAGTGCAGCCGTAGCTGCAATTCTGGAGTACGCACTCGCAGTGTCATCTGCCAACGACGGGTACCAAATGGTGAGGAAAAATCTGTGGATGATCGGTCGTGCCCTCAATCTCGCCCATCCATGCTGGAACCCTGCAATACAGACAGATGCCCACCAGAGTGGGTGGCTCTTGACTGGTCTGAGGTAACAATGAGAAAACGTTTGCACATGATCTTATTCTAAAAATATATCACTGCCTCCACTATGTCATCTAGTATGTGAATGATAGTATTTTCATAAACAGTGTAATGAAATGTACTGTTGAGGAATGAATGCTCAAAAATATAGCAGGTAAATGGTTCCCTCCATGGCAAGTCAGTTGCATAACAGAAAACATATACCACTCTATTTACTAGTATGACAGAAAACCAGAGCAATGATCAATGACTTGCACCTGTATTTCTCATAAAATATTTGTGAGATCTACTAATGCGACTTGCAGTTTTTAGAAGAAGTGTAATTTGACCTACAAAAGAACAGGATAGACCCAGCGAGTGGCCTCTCTTTTTATTTATAGGAGCCCAGGAGATGCCTAGTACTCGGGAATGTGTTAAAAAAAATAAAAATCTGGGCCCCCACGGCACATACACTGTGTTGTTCATTTGCCCCAATGGGCATCTTTAGGCTCCACTGCCCCGTCTCTGAGTAGCTAGGGACCAAAGCCACGTCCCATAAATATGTCCCTACCTATCCTCCTTTAGAGAGTTGGCCCAATACAGCTAAAGTAAGCGAGATTTGAGAATCACAGCATTGTGATTGGCTGACTTCCAAGCCAACCACTCACAACACTCTTACGGAGTTTTAAAGTGTGAGAACACTTTTATAAAGGGCATCGCTGGGCCCTACAGGGCCCACATTATTATTTTCTAACATAGTACAGGAGACTCGGCGTGCTCATGACCTGTAATATATTACTCCGTAGCTCATGGCGTGGACAAAAGAGGAGAGGCCACCCTCCTTGTTAATTTATTATAGATTATATTTATTTTCATTTTTTCATATATACCAACAAACACATAAGGAACTGCACTCATTCATTTGAGCAAACAAATGGTGCAACCAGGCCTATGGCTAGCGCAAACCCCAAATAGTTGAATCCAATTGAGAAGAAACAGGTCCAGGCACACTAAAACTCAATAAGGCACATATATTTGGAACAATGTGAATCTTGGTTTTTTTTCGACCCTACAGTGGCTCGTTTAAAAGCTTGGCAAGGACCCATTGTAGGGACAAAACGTTGCTGGATTCACTTTATTGCAAATAAATGTGCCTTATTGAGTTTTGATGTGCCCTAACCTGTTTCTTCTCAATTGGAATTTAATATTACATGCTAAGCATGTATTTCACTTCCACTGCAACTATCTCAGATTCGATGCCACACAGGAGAGCCCAGTGCTTCACGCTTCTCTCCAATGCAGCACTGAAAGCCTTTATTGTACAGGTATAGCTCACTTATTCAGAGCACTTAAAACTGGCTTTTGGTTTCCTATGGGGTTCTTACACTCCAGTTTCTGTGATTATTTCATTGTTTACTTTTAATTCACACACCCACATTTTACTGTATTGGACATAGTTGAAAATAAAATGAGATTAAATATTGATTAACCAAACCACAATTTCTCCTGCAATGTTCATATATTTGAGGAGAAAAGACTACTGCCCCTCATATCGATGACATTGTTAATGCACATTGGAACAATGATTGGAATGAAGACAGCACAATAAATGAAAAAGAACATAGTGAATAATGTTTATCATCAGCTGCGCTGGAGTGAGGTTGAAAAAGTTATGTCCTATTTTACAGTGCACTCCAAAGTGCGGCCCGGGTTACAGACACAGAGTAATCCTCTGCAAAAGTGGAGATCATGAAAATACCGTACCCGCATCCCACTGCACTGCCAAGGACAAGCCTGCAACCAGCATGCGTTGTTCCCTGCAAAGATGTCCGCCGCCCCGCTGGGTAACTGGAGAATGGGCAGAGGTAATAGCCAAGAAGCAGCAAATGATAGAATACCAGTGATCGTGTTTTTTACGGGAATCATTTTTAAATTGTTTCCGCAGTGTTCAGCTCCATGTGGCCTGGGACAACAGAGACGCTCAGTACAGTGTCTGAGCCACATAGGACAGCCATCAGTGGAATGCACAGAATCCACACGCCCGTCTGCAATGCAGCAATGCGAGAATAAATGCGAGGCTGGTCCATCTGACAGCCCTGATGGTAAGAAAAAAAAAAAACACTTATACATTCCCCCAAGGGAATATCTGTCTGTTTTTGTTGAAGGTTTTGTCATGTTACCGTATTTCTGTGTCATAATACCACTTGTCTGGGGCACTGTATAAAACCTTGTTTTAGTCTTTTCTCATCCATCTAACAAGGTCCCTGCAATATTGCTGTCTTTTCTGACTTAGTTTTTTTGCAACTATTCTTCTGTCTGTTAGAATGTTCCCTTTTCTGTGCCCCTGTCTCTCCTCCCCCGCTGACAGTGCAACTTTCCTCTTCCTTGCCACACACATATACACACACACACACACACACACACACACATGCACATACATAAACATGCAAACAGGTCTCAACCCTCCTTCCCACACACATTGAGATCTTCTTCACTTGCTCTTGCCTGCTTCCTACGTTATTACTTCTACAGTTATACTTTGTTTGTCTCTGTCTCTTTTCAGAATGTAAAGATGTGAACAAGGTGGCGTACTGCCCTCTGGTGCTCAAGTTTAAGTTCTGCAGCAGGCCCTACTTCAGACAGATGTGTTGTCGAACCTGCCAGGGCCGTTGATTTAACCCACAGTGCTGGGTTAATTTTCATCTCTCCTCTTATTTTCTCCCCAAACCCTTGATACATATGTCCCATATCTGACACATTTTACTTCATCTTTTCGTTCTGCATCTGATCTAATGCTCCACTGTGATGTTCATTTCTCTTTCTCCTCCATTCATTGTTTAATTTTACTTCCAATACAATTTCTCTTTTATAACTTGTTTTTCTCCCTATAAAAAAACTCATGTATTTTTGTAAATTGCACATTATTACTATTACTGAATCATGCTGACAATGTCCCAACCCAGAAATCCTATTTACCCTGCACAGGGATATATCAAGGTCTTTAAGCCATAAACTCCTAATTATCTGCGGGGAGAAAAGCACTGCAAGAAAACAAGGGGTTAATCCCCTGGTTAGGTATTTTTTGTTAAACAGATTTGCACATGTGTGTATTTCTTCAGTGGCAGAATACACTTTTGGGGCAGAGACATTTTAACTTCCTGGAAACCATTTTGTATTCTCCAGTTGGCTTATTTCCTGGCTGTGATACAAAATGTCTGTCAAGGTTACACTTGCATCTACTTGACAACTATCATATCAGTAGATGTGGCACTTACGCATAACAGGAAATGATTGCTAAAAAGGATGTTGAAAATAGAAGATTGTTTAATATTAAAAATCAAATACATACTGCTGGTCTTTTCTTTCCCTCTGCGGTAGAAAGAATGATCATGCTCAGTACATTAGTGATGCACTTTCTGAATCATGGCTTGAAAGTCATTACAATCTCACTTAAATAGTTGTAACCAGGTTTATTGCAATTTCGACTACTTCTGTTGCTCTTTGAATAGAACCCCTCCCTCTCTATCTGCCTCAGCATATAAAGAAAGTCAAAGCTTTGGTCTGAATGCTGTATAGTATAAAGTAGTGTGCCGTTTTTTTTTTTTTTTACTTGCTCATATGAGCTAGATTGTTAAGAACAACAAAGACAAATGTAATCAGTTGCGCACTATGTGTAGCATCCTGGAAGTATGGTGAAAACACAACTGTTCTTGAACTGCTTGTTGTACCCGAAGACATTTTTCAATCTGTATTTGTGTATTTTTTTATATGTGAATAATGCACACTAGTGTATTTAATAATTTACCTATATATATATAATCAGTCTTCATTATCAGCTGGTCGTGAGAGGATATATCCACAGCTTATTCAATTTCATCATGTTATTTGTCTATTTCAAAATCTCACTAGACCATCTGCCATTTTGAACACTTTAATAGCATGTCCACCTGGAGATTAATGAAAAATTCTGAGCATGCTATAGTGGTTATGGTGCTGGGAGTGCCCTGGAGATCCTACCAAAATGAAGTAGTCATGTTGTTTTACAACGGTTTTAGAATGCTTTGACTTCTTACCTGGTGTTCATTGTCACAAGAAGAGGCAGGTAGCAGCATAACAAGTCTAAACATTTTAAAACGGTACGACTACTTGCATTAGTTGTGCGTCAGGATATATGTACATACTGAGGTGGATAGAGGGTGATGGGGCAACAGGGCCAATTGACCCCAGATAAGAAATAACCAAACATTTATTTTAAAGATTATGCATCATATATATTTTCGGCTTTTGGGATAAAAAAGTCTCCTGTGTAAGACTGGTCTAGGTACCATTTCATTTTCTGAGCCTTTATATAGATGTTGTTTTATGGCTGTTTTATTTTTATTTTTTTGTTTTATTTTTTTTAATTTTTATAATATATATAACCCAAGATATGGGAACACTTGCAACCTTAATATCATTAAACTGTTAACCATTATATTTGCTACACAATATAATAGCAAGAATAATCATATGAAGCCTTGATAGAATTAGCTTGAAAAAGATCAAAATACAATTACTGTCTTGAAATTAAACTTGTCATCTAAAACACATACCTATGTGTAATAATTACTTTAAAAAAAACTAGATTAAACATAGATATTAAAACATCTGCACATATATTACCTGCCACTTAAAGCTCACAGCGCACTCACTAAAAAAAAAAAATTTAAAAACAATTAAAAACACCCCTCCTCTTTCTAATACAGCTGCTCGTTTTGTATCTGTTTACATTTTTTAACTTTTGTTATTTTGGAAGTGTTGATGAAATCCAGAGAGAGGAGAGGGTTTTGACCTTGCATTGAGCTGCATGGCAGTTAGATTATAATCTATTATTAAAAGAAAAATGTTTACACAACACATAGACCATTTTTATATCAAAATACTGTTTCAACTTTTTGATCATGCGGGAGATAGTTTAGTTTTAAAGCAAAAGTATGAGAATTCATTTGTTTAAACTGATTGTGATTTTAGGACAATAAAATGCACATACTGTAATAAGACAGGCCTTATAATATTTATCTAACCCCTCTATAGACTGAGAGGTTAGGTAGATTGTGGGTTAGCTAGATCTTATTGCTATTTTTGTTGTGATTGTCTTTAAATGGTGCTAATGCTCTTTTACTGTCTATAAATCACAAATGGCTTCTTGGCTAGTGATGGAAGTAATTCTAAGACATCAGGTACAACTACATAACATCCCTACGTCAACCAGAATTTGCGTCAACAGTGTCGCTAGCAGAAGGCAATGTGAAGTACTGCAATAATGAATGCCTTCATTTTGTTACCTTGCAAATCAAACCAGTGTAATGTTCAGTAATTCATAGACTGTTGTGTTTATTTATACATGCTTCGGAATTTCTAAAGCCAATCCTGAGTACTAAAACCTTTTATTAAGAGTCTTTTGCAATGCATTATGTTGTTGACTACATTTTTCTTATTGCTGTTACATCCATAATGTTGGCAAAGCATCAAGAGAGATGTAGTTCACAACATCGGGATTGCCGAAGGTTGCCTAGCCCCGGTCCTAATACTGTATGGCGGTGCGATAAAAACTATTACCTTTGAGTCGATGACAATTATGATTTAAGTGATTGGTGCGTTTACAGGGTTGAGGTGCTGCAGAGGTACATATACTGCTGTTTCAGGCAATCACTACCTCCGTAATCCCATATTACCTACATGCGTAGGAACACTAGAATCTTCTTCTTGTCATGAGCCTTGCATGCTGTTGATGTTTGGTATGATCGGAAGATTCATTTACATCATATATCAGGCTGCGCCTTATGTTCAAGGCAAATGAAACAAAGTAAAAACCGAGTTGGTTAGATAGTTAGAATATGACATTATTTCAGAAAACAGAAAAGATGTCTATAACCTTTTGTAAAAGTATTGAACCTTTTTTAACCCCTTAAGGACACATGACATGTGTGACATGTCATGATTCTCTTTTATTCCAGAAGTTTGGTCCTTAAGGAGTTAAAGCCATTTCAAAGAAGACTTGGCAACATTTCGATCCTTTCAGATCTTTGGCAAAATCCTTACAGACTTGAAACGTTGTCAAGTCACCTTTTGGTGGTGACTGTTAAAAAGCTTATTAGTTTTAAACAAGATTAATGTTTCTGTTATATTGGTGACTGTTGAGTGGAGGTCCTGTATGGAGACTTAGCTGGTCAGTTTTTCTCAACAAAATCACCTCAGTATGATCATTCTTCTGTGAGGCCGTGCGTCAGTAACCAAATTAAAATAAATATTATTTTGTTCCGCCACCTGCACAAAAATTTACTTTCAAAAACTGTTTATTCCAAAAACCCAATGGTCACTGATCTGCATTGCTGGAAAATCATAGATATAAAAATATAATTGTTGAAAATAGCTTGCCGTCTGTTACAATTATTTTGTCGAAATGGTCAAACAAACGCCCCCACTTTTACTTTACTTAGCTAAAAAAATTGTACTAACCAATGTTATTCAAAATGAATACTATAAGTATTTGTAATCCATGTCTAATCAGAAACAAACAGCAGCTTTCTATATGTACCTGTTTTGTAACACTAATGGGTCCTTGATTTGGAGTCACTACACCTAAAAAGTTTTACTGACTCATAAAAAGATTTTCCATTATAATGTTTTTGTTTATTTTATTTTATTTTTTTGTCACAGACACATAATTCACAGATGGCTATATGCATTTAAAGAGTTTATGTTATGTTTATATCTCTGTATAAAATTTGTTCTGATTCAGAATCCGGAAAAAGAAGGCAGAATAATTAAAATGTCTTTCTACAGAATGTTGGTGGTCCTTATTAAATTACACAACTGCAGTATACGTGTTTCAAAAGTTAAAGTAGATTGAATGACAGTTATATTATGAAAAGTGTGTGTGTGTGCGCGTGTGTGTGTTTTCCTCTGAGCTAAGCAACCAGGAAGTAACAGGACCAGTTATCTGACTGACAGTCAGGTGGTGTAACAATGTAACATTGAAACAATTGTAAAATGAAAAAAGAGGACACACTCTTCACACTTAAAGCACTTCAGCAATCTAAAGCTTTAGGGTTCTGGAGTATCCCTTTAAGCAAAGTTCCATTTCAGTTACTAGGCTAATTTACCCACATTCCACTAGTCAAAAGGATTCCATAGAAGGAGGGCAAACTGCAGACATTATGGACCGAGAAGAAAAAAATGGTGGCACCTAGGTATTGAGGCCATGTACAAGTAAGAAAAGATGATAAATATAAATAGTGGCAAGGGGGAGGTGGGTATAATCATTAAGATTTAATGGGCATAACAAAAGGAATATTGTCAGACAAAAAAATTGCAGTGTCAATTTAAATAATGACAACTTGTTTTACCTGGTAAGATGAACATAAGTAGGTCAGATTAGTTTTTCTGCGATATAGATTTGCATTTTAGAGAGATACCTACACTGATGGAGCCCTAACTTCATATTTTGCTTCCAGTATTTTGGGAACACAGGGAATAACATTTCATCAATTTATTGCCCTTGCAAAATAGCTGCTTTGTAATTACATTCACTGATCAACTTGACTGTTGTGTTATCAAATTTATTCCATTTACAAAGTCACCTGTGGTCAGTCAAAGATATAAGAAAATTTATAGACTGGTTATAGAATGTACATTGTATGTCAAGTTGATTGCCATCTCAAGTTAATGGACATCCCTCGAGGTTCCATTCATCACAGATATCAGAATCTCCATCTGGGGTACTCCAAGCAAGATGTGCTGTCAGCATGCTCTTTTGAGCTTTTTACTTTCAAATGAGGGATTATAGCATACGGTGACAGACCAGGCATCACACAATCAAGGTTCTCCATTTGATTGTTAAGTATTTAACCTTTAAAGAGACAGTTATTGTTGTGTTCAAATGAGGGAAAGAATTGTCATATCTCTCTTCTTCCAACAGTCTCAGTTCAGTGTAAATATCCCAAAATACAGAACACTGTCAAATAAGACAGAGAAAGGTGAATACTCTACAATATGCTCAGACATAATACATTACTTTTCGTAATCAGTTCTATACCCATAAATACAAGCAACACCATATAAATATATGTGATAACACCTATGAGTGGTTTGGAAACAGATTGAAGAAGGTCTTGGGTATGTATATCCAACTTTACCCCAAGACTGTACATTTAATCAGGCTTTCTGGAGAACACTTAAATGGCAGAAACGTGCAACACTAGTTAATAGCTCTCAGTAAGAGATAATAATAAATACTATGTGCACTTTTATAACGTGTTATTAAATACAGTCTCAGAAAGTTGTCAAAATCCATGTATACAGAATAAGTAAGCAAACTATATTTTTACTCCTCTGTCATTTGCTTTTTTGCACTAAAAATATATATATATTTTTTTTATTGTTGCTGTACATGTATTAATTGTATTATTTTGGTTGCTATAGTAATTACTGAAGTCATAACTAGAATTGCAGAAAATGTATTTTGAACCGAATAAGCAGAAAGTCCATAAATGTTTTGGGCCTAATTACCAAATAATGTGTTGTGGCAACCTAAAGACTGACACACAATATGGTGGTCTTATTATGTACAATTGCAAAACTCTGCTATTTTTATCCAAGTGATCTGTGAGGGTGAGGGTGCCGCACAGTCTACTGGTAGTGATGCCGGTAGATAGGAAGTGTCACTATAGGGTGCACAAGGGAATAGTGCAGACAGAGCACAGTGATCCCAGCAGCCCCCACTAGCCACCAGGGATGAGGATCCACTCTAACTCTGCAAGGCACAGAGACTGTGTATGTGTATGAGGGTGTAAGAATATGTATGTGTTCGTGCCTGAGGAAGAAAATTTATGTGTGCGAAAATGGGCGTGAGTATGTATGAATACTATGGTTTTACAAATCAGGACTTAATAACAATCATCTGTTCCTAAGCAGAACTTAAAAATAGATCAATACAACATGAGATGAACAACAATAACACATGACATATTACACTGTGTCATGAGTTATTTAACAAAAATACAGCCAAAATGGAGAAGCCATGTGTGAAAAGCTAAGTACACATTATGATTCAATAGCTTGTAGCACTATCTTTAGCAGCAATGATTTGCTGTAATCATTTTCTGTTTGACATTATCAGTCTCTTACATCGTTGTGGAGGAATTTTGACCCACTCTTCTTTACAACGTTGCATCAGTTTATTGAGGTTTGCTGGCATATGTTGATGCACAGCTCTATTAAAGTCCCAACACAGCATTTTAATCAGGTTGAAGTCTGGAGTATGACGGAGCAACTGTATTGCAACTTAGTACCTCCGCTCAATCCGCTTCCTAGTCGTGGGGGAGGGAGCCTGGAACACTTCAACCCTAGTAGCCGAGGTTTGACTGGGGTCTCTCCAGAGCTTGTCCACTCAACCAGGCTGCAGCTCTCTTTCCAGGCACGTATCGTTCCCGTATGCCTATTCCACTGCAGCCATTCTTCCTGGCAGGTATCGTCCCCTCTGCCTATTCTGCTGCTGCCCTTCTTTCAGGCAGGTTTAGTCCCCTCTGCCTATTCCACTGCAACCCTTCTGGGCTTGATATTTCAGTAAAGCCCCCTCTCCTCACCCTGTGCACACAAGGTCCAATGTATCACGGAAATGAGGAGTCCTTCCTGGGCAACGACTACTCAACCTGCTCCCAGGTTACCTACCGACACTAGATGCTCAGGCTCGAGCAGAGCCGTTCATGTGGCTAAACGTCCTATCACACTGCAATGGAAAAGCATGTTCATTCACCCATTCCAACAAATTCCCTGTTATCAGTAATGACAATGCTGTCCACCCTGGATTTGGAGCCATTTTTAAGAATAACTGGTTCCGTGACATATGGCCCACAGAGTCGCAGAGCCTACCCTCTTTTAGTTAAACTTCAGTTCTCTTTGAAGTATACCCTATTGTGGCTGCCGCACGCACCTGTGGGTCTCTATGGAGAGTGATATCTGTCAAACGCTACTCAGACAACACAGCAGCATGTGAAATTATAAATAAAGGTGTGGTGATTTACCAAGCTATATAAATTATGTATGCATACACATAAAAACTTTCTACTTTAACAAATATTTATTCAGAGACAAAACAACAACAATAACATACAAATTATGACGCACAGTCTAACTAAAACAACAAAAACAACCACAATCAAACAAACAATAACAACTAAATCTTATAAAGTCATCAGATCCCACTCACAGTTCACCATGATAACCTTAGCTCATGTCGGCTCACATGTCTGCTCAGTAGCACAACGAAGAAGGAACAGGGAGAAATAGAGAAAAGGGGAAGTGGTTATCCCTTTCTGACTTGTAAAGGTATTGAATTATCTAGTTACCATATCAAAGGGTAAAGCTTATCTCCATGTTAGAAAGGCATACATGAGCTTGGGCATGTGAGCCCTGGTCATCATATTAGTTTGATGACAAAATGTCACCACAAAAGGTTGGTCCCCCTCACTAACAATAATGAAGTTAATTAGAACGTTGACTTGGCTGGTTGCAACACAGCGATCTTACCTTGTCCGTATACACATTAAAGGCTGTTACAACATAGCAGCCAAAACCTTCAATCACAATTTCGGGTACTCCACGGCTGCCAAATTACCTACCCAAACACTAACCCCAAGACCTCATATTGCATTATTTCATCTCATAACGATGGTAGATTGCTAGCATATGCACCACTCTCTGCCAATACCAACCATTCATATACTAGAGCTCTGAAGATTTTCAATAAATTCACTTCAGAATTTGTAATCGTAAATCCATACTCAATAGATACCATGATTATACTTCCTACCTGTTCTATGTTAAATTTTGTATTTATTGTGTATTAATATTGTTTTTGTGTTTTATTGTACCCTAATGTAACAATGCAATGATTTGTGGCCCCTACCTGCAGCTCAGGGGTGGGGGCCAGAGGGGAGGACAATTGGTCTCCTCCCATCATTTTACTTTAGGGCCCCCACCCGCCACTCAGGGGTGGGGGCCGGGGGGGACAGGCTGCTCACTGTTTAATAGATATGCCCCTACTCGCGGTATAGCGAGTAGGGCATAATTTACTAATACTAAGTAATTTTTACTTAGTATTAGTAAATTTGGCTGATAGACCAATTTAGGTCTTTCGGCATTTTGGTAGATAACTCCCTAATACCGTGGGAATTAGGGAGTTATCTACTAAGTGGCTGCAATAGAAGTCCCGAGGTGCCGAAGTCCCGAAATGCCGAAGTTCCGAAATTCCAAAGTTCCGAAGCGTTGAAGTGCCGAAGTTGCCGAATTTCCAAAGTGTCGAAGTGCCAAAGTGCCGAAGTTGCCGAATTTCCAAAGTGCCGAATTGCCGAAGTCCCGAATTGCGAAAATCCTGAATTTCGGAATGCCGAACCAAACCGAAAATTTTCCCCATGCACATGCCTAGTTCAGCCTTTCTTGCATGTGTTTCTGCTGTTGACCCAAAAGAAAAAAAAAGAAAATGAGAAAAAACTAGAACCCCTTGAAGAAACTAGTATTATAGTGTGTCAGGGACAACCTTCTAGGGGGTAACCCTCACTGAAACGTGTTACAAACAGAAAGAAAAGGAATTCCAGAAACAGTGTCTCTGGAATAGCTGGTAGGAAGTCCCTCTATCCACCAAATAAATGTAAGTAAATAAAATATAACTTTTATTATTTATAGAGATAAAATATAGAAACCAAAACTAAAAGTAAAAAATAAATAAAAAGACAGGCATGAGAGTATATCCGCTAATAGTATTGTGTGGGTATATAAATTACCTACT